AAAACTCATAAACCCTATCAATTGCTACCCATTGTATTTGCACTGTGACCGTCGTCTTTCTCATTGCCGCTAACACCAAATTTGTTGCTCATCATTCGCTGGAAAGGTAATCATTCCTTGGCTCATTCGTGTGGGTTTTTTGTTGTTTCATGCGCTAGATTCCTAATCATTCCTTGGCTCATTCATGTAGGTTTTCTTTTGCTGTTTCATGTGCTAGATTCCTCTTTAGTTTGTGGAGATAATAAACTAATATTAAATAAATTGGATGCATGTGAAGAGTATATTTTTCTTTACTGAATATACCAATGGACCTATACCCATTAAACATGAAACTTTATTTTTCCTTTACATGAAATTTTTTAACAAATCTTTTCAATTAATATTTTCTATTTGAAAGAAAAAGATTAACTCAATTTTTTTTCCTTTCAAAATTGTAATTCTACATACTTATCAAGAAGTTGGAGCTCATTCTTTCAAAAGCACTTTTCAAGAAAAAAATTAATATTTTATACAAATGTATGGAATGAATTCAAATGAGAACTCTAGCTTTATCAAATGTTTTAAATATATTTATCCAATATAACACCAATTTCATTAGCATTTTTCCTAATACAAAATTTGGACCTATTTTTTATATTAATCTATTCTTTATATTTCATGATCATCACAATTTTACAACAAAAAAATGAAGCTCGTAATTATCTTCTACTAGTGTGTGCCTATTCTTTATATTTTTTTGGGTTCTAGATTTCTATTCATAACATGCTTTTACTAAATAATTTATTTATATGTTTGCTTATATATATGATTTGCTTGAAATTATAGTAACGTGTTTATATTATATATTAAGATTATATTATCCCATCTAAAATGTTGCTTAAAATTTTATGCTATAATTTTATTTTGGTTGGGTACAGTAAATTATGGATGAAGACAGGCAACAAGTCATTCTTCATACAATGTTGGCTTGCATTTGGATTATGTATGCTATTCGGAAATTTTTTTTTTGACATGTTTAGTGTGGCTACAAGTGACACTAAATACATTCATGACCGGTCGTACACCCTCGATTTCCATAAGAAAAGATGGCGCCTTAGGGAGATGGTGTATGATAGTGATATAACTTGCTTTAACCAAACGAGGATGTATAGAACTACATTTTTTCAGCTCTGTAGCATGTTAGAGACTATAGGTGGTCTTAAACCGACTCGGCATATGTTAGTAGATGAGCAAGTTGAGATATTCTTGCATGTACTTGCTCACCATATGAAAAATAGAGTTATTCAATTTGAGTTTGGAAGGTCAGGAGAAACCATAAGTCGATATTTCAAGATAGTTTTAAAAGCAGTTGTTCGCCTCCAAGGGGAGCTCTTTAAAACACCTGAGCCAATTCTTGAAGATTCAATTGATGAGAGGTGGAAGTGGTTCAAGGTAAACATCAATCCCATGTGTCTATTTTTTCAAGTCAAGATTTTTGTCTTTCTGCTGATTGATGAATATTTGTAGGGTTGTCTTGGTGCACTTGATGGAACTCACATAAGGATTCAAGTGCCTGCAGAAATAAAGAGTAGGTATAGGAATAGAAAGGGGGCATAACTACCAATGTCTTTGGTGTTTGCTCTCAAAATGGTGAATTTATATTCATATTTTCGGGATGGGAAGGCTCTGCAGCTGACAGTAGGGTGTTGAGGGATGCAATTGCTAGACTAAATGGTTTTAAGGTCTCTCAAGGTATGAATATAAATCGTGTATTGTATAATTTGATTTACTTCTTGTGTTTTAATAGTGGTAATATGTTATGTGTAGGAAATTATTATCTAGTTGATGCGGGATACACAAACTGTGAGGGCTTCCTTGCTCCATATAGAGGACAACGATATCATTTAAGTGAGTGGCGTAATGGAAGACATCCTGAATCTCCGCAAGAGTGTTTCAACATGCGACATTCATCTGCTAGGAATGTCATTGAACGAGCATTCGGGATCTTAAAGATGTGTTGGGCAATATTGAGAAGCCCATCATATTACCCTATTCGAACTCAAAACTGATATATCGTTGCTTGTTGCCTCTTGCATAATCTTATTATACGAGATAATATGGATGACCCCATTGTGGCTGAATTTGATTCAATAGATCAACCAAATCTCCAAGAGGATAATAATCCAATATTAACCATGGAACCATCAAACGCTTGGAGTGCTTTTCGAGAGAATATGGCTAATGAAATGTTTCATGCTTTTAGGGCTCGTAGGAGTAGTAGATAATGTTTGCAAATTATTATTTGATTTGGATCTATATTTTTCATATTTGAATTTTTTTTTACTGTATTAGCTATTAAGGTGAGCTTATATTAGTATATCTTTAACACTTATGTGACTTGTATTCTATAATTTATTATTTTTTACAACTTTAAATCTTATACGACTCTTGTTGCTTTCTCTTTACTTTTTTATGTATAGAATGGAAACCCAAAAAGATAATGGTAAGGGAAGTAAGCATGTCTGGACCACCCAAGAAGATAACATGCTGGTTGAATGCCTAATCCAACTGAAAACCAATGGAAATTTGTCGCAGATACTGGGTTCAGTGTAGGGTATTTGAAAAGGCTAGAGGATATGCTAGAAGTAAAGCTTCCAGGTTGTGGCTTGAAAGCTAGCCCTCATATTATGTCTAGGTTGAGAACAATCAAGAAGCAATGGCAGATTGTTCATGATATGGTGCATAATAAAAACACTTCTGGCTTTGGATGGGATCACATCAAAAAATGTGTTACAGCTGAAGATCATGTATGGACTGAGTATGTGAAGGTAATAGAGTGTTACATCTTATTATCAATATATGCTAATAATGATGTTTAAATTACATAATTATATTTATTTTTCATTTTTCAGGTTAAGAAAGAAGTTGGAAATTTTAGGAATAGATGCTTATCCCACTTTGAAGAGCTATCATATGTTTGGGCTAAGGATCGTGCAGATGGGACAGGAGTAGAGGTGCCTATATCTCTTGGTGAGGATGATCAAGAAGATTCTAGAATTGAAGCTGAAGTCAATGCTGAACAAGTACATAACACAAATACAAATTCTATTGCATTTGAGCAACAACCTTCACAGCCAACTGATGTCCATTTATCTACAAAACGAAAACGAAGGAGTGGTCGTGATGCTATAGAGGTGCTCATTGATGCTTTAAAGGAATCTTCTTCCAACATGGACAACACAATGATGAAGTTTGCTGACAATTTATGTAAAGAATTTGCAGAGATGTGGAAGGATTCCAGAAGATTTGGTCCTGTTGATGTGGGTAGGGCAGAGGAAATATTCAGGCAACTTATGAGAATACCAGGTCTTACATGGGGAGAGATTAACAAGGCTCATTCTAAGATTACCGAGTCTTCATCATTGGCAGTTGGATTCTCACTAGTCCCTGAAAACGAGATAGCTCTTTGGGTGTACAACCTTCTTGAATAGATAATTTGATATATAGCAGTAGCACCTTTAAATCTTTCTTTTGTTAGTATTTTGGAATTTGTAGACATTATCTCAACATCTTTTTATTTGAACTGATAATTATGGACATGATTTAACTTATTAGTTTTTATGCTTAAATTTATATATTGACTTATTGGCTTAATTTTGGATTTATATAGAAATTATAGTTGTTGTTATAATATGTGGGTACATAAAAAAATATTTGCATATAGATTATATATGGATACAATTTTAATTATCAAACCTGCATGATACTTTAACTAATATATATATATATATATATATATATGGATACGAGCCAAATTATATGTAAAAATATATATTTTGAAGTGTTATACATATGGACGGACAAAGATAATTTTGCCTATTATTTTTTATCATATGTGTGGATACGGTTATTATACATTTAGAGGAAAAAATAGAAAATTTTAATTTTATATATATTTGAGCATGTAGATAAGGGTAATTTTGTCTTTTGGTATATTATTTTTACCTATTCCTATGTCTTTTGTAATCCAACCAAATATTTTTATGTCTATGCATCGTCTTTTCTTAATGACGTACCAAACAAGCTCATATAATCATCATTCCATTATATTCTATCACATTCCATTACATTCTATATCATTCAATGAACCAAACGGGCTGTAAATGTCCAGCCATGGAATATACCTCACACCTCATTTGAATACGAAAGCCTCAACGTAGCACAGAATTAAAAAAAACATTAAAAAAGAAGAAGTAGATATTTAACATTCTAATAACAAACGCTTAACTCTCTGATCCACAAGAAGCAACGATGTCGTCAAATATCATGATCAGAAGAGCAAGGACCATAACATCATCTTATGTTATCATTATTACAGATAAACTATATATGGAAAAAAAAAAGGGGGGGGGGGAAAAAGAATACAATGGATCAGCGTCAAATTGGGTCGGTTCTTATGTGGATCAGTCCCAGCGAACCACTCCTTTTTCCTTTCTTGGCCAGAATTAATAATTAGGCTCCATTATAAGATCAAGGTCATCTTTTTCAATTAGTTCAACAAAATCAAGGGATACGACTATGGACGGCGGAGCCAAAAGTTCTGACTTATAAGCACCATCTCCGCCGGGAAAAGTAAGACATAGAGGAGAATGATGAATGGTGTCTTTTTTTTTTTTTTTGGGGTCAAAGGAATGGTGAATGGTGTTTATGTCTAGTCAAAGGACTCTACGTGAAACCCTGAATTTGAGCCTTGTCAAAAGAGAAAACTTCATCTTCTGTTAGACCTCGCTATTGAATAGGAAATAACTACCGAAAAGAATCAATCGAAAATCACGATTCAACTTCTTATTGCTCCCAAAGCATCGTTTCCATGATTCGCCGCACGCTATTTGCTTCACTTTTGGAATCCAATACTATCAGCAAATTCTAAGACGCAACCACCCATGCCTTCACCAGCAAATTTAAAGTTTTATGAAATCACGTTGAAATTTTATATATGATTGCCTCGTTTTACGTCCTGCTTAAGATCATATGTTGTTTCTTAATAGTCATAACTTCATTATGTTTTTCCCTCGCTCTGCGAGGTTCTTCAAAGTTGATATACACAAGCACAGGATAACGAAAGACTCGAAAATAAAAAAAAATATGCAAAGTTGAAGCAGCACACTGTGTGCATCCCCCAGGAGACAGTGAATTAACACTTAGATGTCGGACACTGAAGACCCGAAACCGATTTTGAAATTAAAGGTGATACAAGTTAACTGCTCATTCTTCTCATCCTCCATCGTCATCTTCAGTACATAAGAGCCCTACAAAAAATTTGAAAAATAAGTAAATAAATAAAAGAAAATTTATTAACGAACCAAGTCATACCCTATCTTCAAGATGAAGTTACACTCGCTAGTCTAATAGTAGAGAGGCAATAGACATCCGGCCGAAAAGTGAAGTTGTAAGTAAATAATATAGGTAAATCAGCAGTCACTTGTTAACACATTATATGGTCGCAGAAATCTGTTGATGTAAGGAAGAAAGGAAGAGGCCAAGATCGTGATTCGTGATAGGATCAGTGTCCTAAAGAATGCTGAACATTATCGTAAAGGTCATGCCGTCAGAAATACTGGGTGAGCCCAGTCTCGCCATTGCAATCCAATAATTTAGCATCAGTCAAACTTCTAGCCACAAAATGATGAGAGAGACAAATGTCTACAACTTGATCAAATGGTTTGACAAAACAATGCGAATAAGGGAGGGCAGAAACTAGTTAGCAAAGGTGCACTGACCATGCCTACAACTCAAGAAAATATGCAAGTTACACTTAATTGCTTATAGGGAACCTCAAAGGCTCCAAATCCAAAGTCAGACAAATAGAAAGGCCCAGTTGATTCAAAGGCCGACGTTCACATAGTTTCAAATGGCCAGTTGAGTAGCATTCCAGCATATTACCAATTGGATTGGCATGGTCTTATGGTAACGTGACTATTGACTTTAGATAGAAGCGATACATGATCTAACGGATAGAGAAGAGAAACAAAAAGAATTTCAATCTACTTTTACAAGTAATGATGCAGAGACAAATTTGCTCTTCAATACTTGCTGACATTTATGTTGCAACCATTTTGCAAGAGCCTGAAGGGGAAGATGATACAGAGAGGTAAAACTTGAATATGTCCAACAAAGTTGGCAAATGTTTAACGCCATTTTAAGTAAATCTTAAATGTCAGCATGGATGTCAATGTTAAGAAGCTCCTCATCCACAAAAACTCAATACTCATGATAAATTGATAGTTTCATAATGGCTTCAGCATTGGTAAGAGAATGTATATGGGAAGATAAAACACACCGGTGGGGTAAATGAAGGCAGTGTTTGAGTGTGAGCGAGCACAAAGTTTCCTGCAGTGACAGGACAGGATGCTTCCTCACAAAGATCATGAGTTTCTGTATGGACATGCACCCCAAAGTATGAAACTTCAATTATTAACTTTCCGCCATGAACAGCTTCACCTGATGGAAACATAAATAGCTGGTTATCATTAAATAACAAAACAGATTGCTGAAGCCACTTCCATACACAAAATGACTAACGAATTTCAAGAATTAATCAGTACAATTTGTAAGAACACCTAAAATTCTAATGCCAACTATCTTCTTTCAACAAATCATTCTGTTTTTGTGCATAAAGAGATGAAAGCCAATCCAATTATTTGTGGTCAACCTATACATCCGCACATAAGAGTGCAATACCGTGCATTTTAAGTACGAAGAGAAACCATGATGGAGATAAATTTGTAATAAAGATAAAGAATTAAAAAACACGAAGAAAGTGCGCAGTTACCAGTAGCAGCTGAAATCTTAAAGGTAGCCGGTTTTCCCCTGACCACAGGGTTAGGTGATACGTCAACTCCATGCACCTTCACAGCATAGTCTCCTTTCTTGTCTACACAAATTTTGAGCAGAATTATAAGCTATCAATTGATCGATTGATATAAAGCTGCAATAGTCTAAACGAAATGCACAAAAAGGTAATCAGATGCAGCTGGGTACTCTTGCTCACACAAGATGACACAATCCCCAAATTTACTAAGCAATTTGGAATGAAAATTGTATTTAAGAAATGCTCAGTCCGACTAAACCACCAGTGATTTGAAATTTGAATAACAGAGATCCATTGTATCCGATTTGTTGCTATAGAAAAAGCATCAAAAGATAATCAAATAAAACTACCACTGATTATACGGAAGCAAGAAAAGACGACGTCCGAAAAGAAAAGTAGAAAAGAAAACCTAATGACAAGAGAGATGGTTGTCATTCTTGAAGATCACATCACAGAAAACATTAAACATTGCAGAAACAAAAACAAAAAACGATCCTTATCTCGAACTGGGAGAGATTTACCCTCAAAACAAAATATGTCAAATGAAAGGAGAACGGGGAACTCACCGCAGTAATGGACAAGTGTAGCTTGAATCTGAGATGATGAAAGCAATAGGATGCACGAAAGAAGGTAAAGCTTCAGATGAGACGGAACCTCCATGGATCGCCTAGCTTAATAGACAGGAAGGATACCGTCTTCCTGTGCGATTTGTGTTTCCCCTTGAGGTCAGCTTTATTGAATCGAAAGCCTTGGTGAGTTTCGACCCGCGACCGCGCGAATAATAAAATACTTGTACGAAATTACCGGGAAAGTAAACACATGGAAGGGTTGATACTTGATATGCCTTTGACTGATAGGTCATAATTTCATTTACGCACACGCTGTTTTGTCCCTAAACCCCTTCTTTTTTCAAAAAATTATTTCAATTTTTTGTAACCAATATTTGCATTTTAATGTTCTAAGTATTACATGAACTATATGTCAAGCTGGTATTAAAGATAGGGGCCATATTTTAGGGCGTTGTGCCCTGGCCAGAACTTGGTGGGAGCTCATAGCACCAGACCAGGGCTTCTTTGGTATTGGTGATCCTTTTGGCGGCCGGGTGTTACCCAACACCCACGCTAGCTATAGGAAGTTAGAAACTTAAATTGGAGGCTTTTATTTGGGATCATTCAATGGAAACCTGACACAAACACTTTTCTCCAACGAATCCGTCCATGCTTATCAGCTGGTGAATGAAGTGCTTGCCATTTCACATCACATCATCAAAGCCATTGAATCCTGCGTTTTGTTTACTTATCTTATCTCTGTATAGTTCAATTTGAAGCCTTGGCTGTTTTGTTGATGTTTAAGGCTGTCCGGCTCTAATCCTTTTGACTTTTTTAGTAATAATTTCCCATTTTTACTGAAAAAGAAGAATAATAATAGTAATAATAAAAAAAAAAAGGAAAAGAGATTGGAAGCCGTGCAAGTGATGACAAAACTTCTATTAATTTATGGTTCCATGGTTGACAAATCGTTATTTAATGCAGTCCAACTTAAATTTTGCCAAATCGCCCTTATCAGGTTCATTGTGCAGCACTGCAGCCGCAAGTCTGCAACCAAAATCATCATGAACTGACCTTGCTGGTAAACGACAACGCCGTTTTATTGTCAGCCACAAATAATACCTTCTGTTCTTTCTCCCTTCGTAAGTAACTCTGTCAAGTTTATCAACCGAAAAGTATTAACCGTTAACGGAGTAGAACCTATGGAGTGGCGTTTGTAGATTTTTTTACCGATTAATCAGTTACTGGCCCACTTTAGGTCCTTCATCATTCTTTGTTTCTCTCTCTCCCCAACCCAAAGGTGAAAAGGTTCTGCAGATTTGTTCTATAAAAGTAGTCTCTATAACAAGGGATGGAATTTCACGGTGTCATCTTCATGCTCACTTCTGTTAACCCACCTTTCCCATGCCCATGGATCCCTTGATCCGCAAGCTGCACCGCCGCCTTCCTGCATGGCTTCACCGATCTCGCTCTGGTATACTAACCTCCCATCAATTTCTTATTTTGTATCTCTCTTTCAATTTCTGCCCTCTTTTAATTTTTAAAAACTTCTATTATCTCAAACACCACCACCTTGCGCTGGTTTGATCATGCTTTTCATTGATCTGAATGAGGTATACTTTAATTGCTCGTAGACTTCTATAATTTGGTTTTCAGTGAGTGAAATAGAGTGTGAAAGTTGCAGCTTTTACTAATTCTGAAAATATCGATATTAATTTTCTCCCATGGTTGATTAAAACATGGGGCTTTCTGTTTTTATTAGATATTAGAGGTATACCAGAAATTCGGACTTACTAGGCTTTAGGTGTTTATGGCTGGATCTATTGAACTTGTTTAAGCCCTGAATTCAGATCAAATATACTTTATGAGGCGACTTTCATACAAGGATGTTAAACGAGCAACGGATGGTTTTCACAGAATTATCTATAGCAATTCTCAAGTTGCTGCATATACGGCCAAATTTGAAGATGGTAGCGTTTCTTTGGTGAAAGAAATAAAGGATTTTGATCAAGCAGATGATATTTTCTACAGCGAAGTGCAGTACTTGGGCCGCTTGCATCATCGACACCTTTTGTCGCTCAAAGGATTTTCCTTGAAACACAAGAGGTTTGTGCCTGTAAGACCATCTACCGCTTCACACCAATCACAGTTTTAGTTATGTACTCACACAAATTTTTTCTTTTAATTTCAATTTCACTATGCTTTGATCAGAAAGTTAGTAACTATCGGTAGATTTAAACTTCTCTTTCTATATTGAATATATTATATTTTCCAATGAGGAGGACCAAATTCTTCTGAACAGAATATTTCTGATACTCATCCCCAAACTGTTCTTGAAGAATACTTTCATGTTCAGTCACTGGTTATAATAGATTATAGGCAGGTTTGAAAACGTTTTTTGGCGCATTGGAATGCATGCCAATGCGTTTCCAAACACACCATATATATATATATATATATATATATATATCCACGGTTTATGAATTGCTTGCTGGTTGAGCAGGTAGCTATAAAGGTTCTGAGATGCTTATAAATATTATCTCAATCATGCATGCCACTGTTGTTGCAAAATACAAATAAGTCTAACTTTAACTTTTTTCTATGGGGCATATTAGCAGATTGCTCATTTTTGACAGCATAGAGAATGGAAGCTTAAAGGATCATCTAAATGGTAACTTCAGAAAATTGGAGATTTGGGGAGCATCATAATGATGTTTGCACTATTCTGATATTGTTTTATTGATTGGATGTTGGCAGATCCTCTGAAGACACCCTTAAATTGGAGGACAAGGTTAAAAATAGCTATTGATGTTGTGGCTGCCCTGGTAAGCTCTATATTCATGACTTATCGCACCACATTGTGCAAGCATGCCCATGACCGCCAAGCGTTTTGCTTTTAGCTTGCCATTGCTGCATTCCATAAACATGGCATTCTTACTTAGATTTTAAGGCCACGCAATTGAAGAACCAGGAATATTTAGCATCTGCTGAGGTTTACAAAGATAAGTATGATGTTCTCAATAGATAAAAGATGCAAGACATTTTAGCTTCTTCTTAATGTTATCATCGTTGACGTAGGTAATTATCTTATAGTTGAACTGTAAGAATTTTTTGGGATACTCTTCGCTAGATTCTAGGATCATTGACAAGTTAGTCTTCTGGTCCTTAATATAAGACCTATTTAACTAATTTAATCAGACTAAAGAAGTTAGATAAGTTAGTTAATTATAAGAAATATGACATATTTTTTCTAAAACACCACAATCATCTTCCTTAATATCCTTTCTCTCTCTTCTACTTGATTATCGTTAAGGGAGATCCATAGGGATAATTTACAGAAAATTGATAAATATGAGAAATAGGTTTTATATTTAGAATCAAAATCAACTTAACAATTAGGTTTATATCAAGGACCGGAGGAGTATTACAGAGCTAAACCTTCTTTGAGCAAGTAGATGGAGATTCAATATTTCAGTTACATTCGTTCATTAATTAGAATTTGAAGTGGGATGGTGATAATATCACCGTTACAGCCTTAGAAGCTGAAAGCTACAAATATCTTCCACCAAATTTCTCATCTGACATGATTATTTTGACGTAGGAATACTTGCTTCTCTTCGTTGAACAACCACCATGTCATGTCTCCATCAGCTCTAGCAATATCATGTTAGATGATACCTTTACGGCTAAAGTAAGGAAAACCTCTCTCTTGCGGCAAACTCTCCTTTTCTAGATACTAACGTCTGTTACTGTCCAGTTGACATGCCAAAAGGGCAAAGACAAAGATAGCACTCTAATCCAGAACTGTTGTTCACTGCTAAATTGATGTTACATTCTGTGTTCACAGCTATCTGATTTTGGCCTTCTTACTTGTGTTGGAAATCCCGTTATGATGCCGAATTCAAAAGGTGAATTCTCTTTGTAAATTACTCTAACAGACAAAACTTAAATACCATTAGTGATCTCACGTCGACCAACTTCATTTCAGATGACATGAGGCAGAAAAGTGGTAACATAATATTCCAATTGGGAGTTTTCATACTGGAGCTTGTCACTGGTCAGTCCTCAGAGATGGAAGGTTCCGATCTAATAGAATGGATCCAGGAATCATGCTTCTACAGTTCCATTCATAATATGGTAGACCCTGATCTTGGCGACAATTACGATTCAAGGGAGTTAAAAACCCTTCTAGCTGTTGCAAAGTTATGTATCAAATCAAAGGACAAGCCTGTATTTACGATCCCCCAGTTACTTCGATATCTTCAACAGAAGGTAGATATTCCTCGTGACTAAGATTGGACTTTCCTTTGAAGATGTTCACGGTTCTCGGGAGTTTGGGAGAATAATTCGAACTCCCATCCCGTGTGTGAATATTAACAGTATAAATTCGCTTTTCCTGCCTTTTGGAGAATCGATTTCGTTGCCTTATTTGGGACAGATACTTATTTGGATTTGAAGGAAGAATATGGAAACAAATTGGCGAGAATGAGGGGATACGAAGGGGGAAATGTCCAATGACAGTTATTTAAAATAAAAAGTAAACAGACAGATTTCCTTTTCTTCTATGTGGCTGAAAAGAAAACTCAGAGCAGGGCACCGTTCGATTCTTCAGATGTGCTAGATGAGTGCTTTTCCGAATGGTTAATCTTCCAGGTTGAGATTTCGTTCAGCTTGGCCACCTCCAAAAGGAGTAGTTTCACCCGAAATTACGAGTGGAAAAACTAATATTACACCCAAAACAAATCATGCGCGTAGCGTCAACATGCATGTGGAGCTCTCTTCTCCTTTCGAAATGACACTTCGCTTCCTTGTCGTATGGCGCCTCGGTACGAAGTAACATGCTTTCTTTAGCAAGAAGCAACATGGAAATGACTCCTGTTTGAAGATCATTGTCTTTAGCCTTGTCTCTGTATCCCACGGATCGTTTCAAACTCATCTATCAAAAAATACTACCTTCCGTTGACTAATTTAAAAAAATTTTAAAAATAATATAGAAGCTTTTCTACGGCGTAGCCGTGAACTTGGATAAATTTTGGACACACACACATAAAGGACAAAACTTAGCCATATGATACTCCCAGTTGGGCAAAGAAACATCGTTTTTTTTTTTCCCGGCCAATCTCATTGTTTCTATCTAAACGAAAATGAAGTGGTAGTCAGGGCTCAGAGGGGATGATCCTCATTCAAGTTCAGACTTCAGAAAAAGTGTCACGCACAAGTAGCTTACATCACATGATATAAAATGTTGGTCCAAACAGCTGCAGCCTCGGTCTTCATGGCAAGACTAAGGAAGAACTTTGAGGTTCCAACACGAACTGCTGGTGTGATGCAAAAAGAAAGCGGGGATTAAAGATGTTGGATGTCGATTAGCTATTTTCTCCTTGACACATACAAATATGTCTATCTGAAGATTCAAGTGAATCCGGTAAATAACATAGAAAAAAATTAAACCCCCTTCAGTTATTAATCAAAAGTTTATTCGGCAGTAACTTAGGTACCTATTAAAATGCTGTAGCATCTTGCCCCATTAATGCCATTTTTTATGGCTCTATTCCTGAATATAGCTGGGCATTAGTAGAACCCACTCTTAGCGGAAGCTGGTAAAGACACAAGCGGATCACGCAAGATCCAACCACCAGAGAAGGTCATACCTTTAGAAGAAATGATAAAGAAGGATGACATCCAGGCTAGCCACCAAAAAACACACAGTATATAAAGAATGTCAAAAAATAAATGTTGCCCGAGAAACAAAAATGCTTTTCAGTACTTATTTACTCTTCAAATTCCTTGAACAATAAGCTTTCGCATGATGACTAAAAGTCGTCGGCATCATTCACTCTTCGTCTCCACCCCCGCAAATTCATCACTGCTGTGCGCATTGCACTCTCTGAGCACCACCATGCATATCCTCATCCTCATCATATGCCTCCTGCTGTGCTTGTTGCTTCCTCCTCATCTCCTCCTCAATATTGACATCATGAAGAGTAGTCTCCTCACATTCATCCAGCTCCATGTCCGTCAACTGTGTTGAAGGCCTAGGCGGCAGAACAGCCTCTAAAGCTTTGACTTGATCAGGACTCAGAGATTCTGGGAAGTCTACAGCAAAGTGAATGTAAAGCTTTCCCCTCATGAACGGCCTCTGGTACATCGGCATTCCTTCATCATTAATTGCCTTGTACGAATCTGCACATAGAACACACAAAAACAGACATTTACAACCACCCGGCATAACTAAAACACGGACAGGAAATAAAATCCTGAATCAGAAACATACCGGGTTTGACAACTTCCCCTGGATTGGATTTGATGAGAAGCTGCCTGCCATCCAGGTGAGTCAGCACAAATTGAAAGCCACATAAAGCCTCCGTAAGGGATAAAGTGTGCTCCACAAAAAGATCTTCACCCTTCCTCCTAAACTTGGGATGTTCCTTCTGCTGAAGGACAAACACTATGTCCCCTGTTATCGTATCTGGCTGTAAACCACAAACAGCTAAAAGTCAGTATCAATTCTACAATCCCTTGTACTGAACAAGATGTTCAGCTTACCGCTTCATCTGCTTCACCAGGGAATGTAATTTTCTGTCCATTCTGCATTCCCTTCTCCACAACAACTTCAAGTACTTTCTTCTCTTGAACAACCTTCTCTCCTTTGCACTGTGGGCAACGGTCCTTATCATTGATCGTTTCTCCAGTACCCTTACATTCATTGCAAGGATGCTGCATTTGCTGTATCATAGAGGGGCCGAGATGCCTAATAGAAACCTTCATACCAGTACCTTGACAACCCGCACACTTCATTGAAGCACCAGATTTGGAACCTTTCCTGTAATCCATATTGAACAAGTGTTGTGTAAGAAATCCTACTGTTCCAAATGCCCAGTAACTCGCTTAAGAATGAGATCTTCCTTAATGATACTAACCCCTTGCACTTGGAACACAAGACGTTTCGTGACAGAGAAAGCTTCTTAGAAGTCCCAAGGTAAAGGTCCTCCAAAGACACCTTGAGGGGGTGAACCACGTCTTCACCTCGTCTCTGCCTTCGTCCTCTACTGCTACCCCCTGATCACAAAGATAGCACGACACAACTCAGTTACAGCTCTCGAATTTTCACTCAACACATACAAAGCTATTATGTATAACCCCTGGATTCTCTTCTACCTCCGAAAGGACTGCCGCCAAAGAAAGACTGGAAGATATCAAACGGATCGTGAACTCCGCCTCCACCTCCCATTCCTTCCTTGAGTGCATCTTCACCATATTGATCATATATTTCACGTTTCTCAGGGTCACTCAGAACTTCATAAGCTTGGGCCAGCTCTTTGAACTACATCGAAAAGAAGTAAAGACATGTTAATTATATTCAGCTATCTTACAGGTTGCCAGTAACTGAGGCTGGAACTCCCAGGGCTTGGAAACAAACTACACAATTGACTATGAAAGAAAGATTCTCATTAAAATAACCCGGGTAAATAACATCGTCTACAACATAAAATCACAAAGCGAATTTCGTGCTGCCCCAATTAAAAGAAAATAAAGTTCGATTACGGTACTAAACAGTCGTTTACCATAGTCCAAATCCTTCAATAATATGTCAACACAATATCTCTACGTTGGACAGCAAAAATTGCCGCATAGCGCATGCATCATTGATTAATACAAGTATAAGAAAATAAGCATCAAGAAAAGTAACAGATGTCACTCAGGATTATCAAATTCTTAGACTTTTGGGGTAAGTTTCGAAGATAATCTCGTAGAATCAAGCCAATTCTCATGTAAATATCAAAATAAAACCCAACTCATAACCACAGATTGAACAAAGCGATAAAATTTACCTTCTCGGGATCACCGCCCTTGTCGGGGTGGTTCTTTATGGCGGCTTTCTTGTAAGCCTTCTTCAGATCATCCTGGGATGCGTTCTTAGAGACGCCCAGGATCTCATAGTACTTGGTGTTATCACTTTTTTTGGGCGCCCTCCCAAACATGCTTGCTTCTTCTTCTTTTCAATCAACGAAATCAACGCCGATACTCCAACGAAACCCTAAAATTTGCAGGAATCTGTGTTGCGCCTAATGCAGCAGACTCCAGATCTAAAGAGCACGCGCGAAAACACCGCCAAGTGAAAAAGTCCTATGCATCAACAATTCTCAGCCTCGTGCTGCGTGGGGATGTATATATATATTAGATGATCGATTCCGCTGTTCCAACAAAACTGGGACTCCGTGGACAATTGAGATCGGTGCGAACATATAATCAATTATGTGGCTTCGGAAGAGTCTCGATCTTTTTCCTGGTCAAAAAGATCTTTTTTGACAAATCCTAACCATTGGATGATGGTTAAGGATATTATTCTAGATCCTTCGCGGGTATAGGTCGAAAGTAATTTTATCTTCGATTTTTTTTTTTGGGACTGAAAAATTTTATCTTCGATTTAATCTAATGTGAAGCTAATGAATTAGGGTATATTTGGATTGAGATTAGAAAAAACTGACTTCTAACTCAACTGATTTTTGTAACTAAAATTAGAATAAAAATCAATTAGGATATGTTTAGATAGATGTTTTTAAAAAGTCAATTGAAAAAGTTAAAAATTATTTGAATTATTAATAAAAAGTTAGTTTAGTTATAAAATGACTAAAAAAGATATGCACTTTATTGAATAGTAGTGTTTAAAATTTTATTTTTTTAATATGATAATAGTTGGTTAATTATTATTTTTTGTTGCCATCTTTCTTTGATTAAAATCATCATGTCCATTTGTTGAATGTGACTTTGTTTATTTCACTACGTAGATAGTACTATTCTCATCTTAAATATAAGATTTTTTAACCTAAATTATATTATAAAAAAAATTATATTTAAGAGTAATAAAAATGATAACACGGATTTATGTGGATTAGTTCATAAAATAAGAGCCCATTCCAAGATGAGCTTTTACAGTCTATCCCGTCTTGCATGCGCTTTTTTTAATGTGATTTTTTATTTTAATTTTAATAAAAAGTATTGCTTTGCGCATGAATATAACTTTACTTTGTATTAGGAATTTGATTTCATATTTAATTTTTCATTTCATTCATTGATTTATAATTTTTATATGATTATTTGTAAGTTTTGGGATCAATTTAAGTATATGTTTTTGTAAAAATATAAATAACTTGAATTTAGTACATAATGATATATAATTGGTTAAATTATATATTTGGTTTTTTAAACTTTATATAAGATTTTAATTTGATTCATTAATTTAAGAAATATATATTTTTAGTTATTTAATTTTAAAATTATTAATCTTAATATCGTCTTGGAGTATGTACGTGTTTTTTAACCATGGTTTTTGGCTTAAAAGTGCTGTGTAAGTTCTTCTGGTCTTCTAACAATAAAACATGGTTTAGGCTTCAAAAACACAACCTTCATATTCCATCGTTGCTCCCGACGTGCAATTAAAACCGTAAAAAAAATAAAACCTAATAGCCCAGGCACTTGTTATTAAAGATGTGTTTGGTACGAGGGATTTGGAAAGGAAGGGAAAGAGAGAGAAGGATTTTAATCATTTTTCTTTATTTGGCAATACACAAATTTTAGGAGGTGAGGGAATTTTTCCTTCTCTCCCCTCCTCAACCTCTCCTTCAAAATTAGGAGGATTTGAAGTGAAAGAGCAATATTTTGCATTTTTGCTATATTGTGATCATTATGTTCATTTTTGTCATGTGATAACTATTATGCCCTTATCTTAAATAAAATAAGAGTGAAATTGTCCATGTTAAAATATTATTCCCTACCCTCTCCTCATGAATCAAACAAGGTAATATTAAAATTCCTTCCCTCTCCTCCTTTTTTATAAATCCAAACAAGATAATATTAAAATCCTTCCACTCCTCTCCTCTTCTCTTCATTAAAATCCCTCCCTCCCCTTTCTCTTATTGAGCCAAACAAACTCTAAGGCTGGTAAAGTAGGTTAGTGATGTAGATATAGGCCAACCCGCAGTGATGCAAGTTGAAGTAGCCCACTTATATTTTTTTAATTTTTTTCAAAAAAATATTTTAAATTATTTTCACACACTAGTAAATGATTTATATATCTCTCTCTCTATCCCTGCAAAATATAGCCATATATTTAAAAACTGATAGGTGTGGCGGAGTTAGAAAAAAAAATAAAGTTCCAAATGAAAGCCCATTATGCAACTATTTATTATTTTTTAGATTAAAAAACTCTTATTATTGATATGGGTTGGTTTTTAAAATATTGAAACTAGACTTGAAGTTTTAGACTTAGTAAATTGTAATAAGATAATATAATGATCAATATATACTATATTTATACAAAAGAAAATGGGCTAACCCGTGATCACTGATGAAGCGGGCTCAAAGCGACTGAATTTTGCCGGCTCTACCTCTTGCCCGGCAGGTACCCCCCCCCCCGGCGCCCCAAAAAAAAAAAGGCACCCAAGGCCCCAGTTCCTTTGCGCTGATGTGTCCCCACCATCAGATTCATCCGCCCTCATCAGCCGATTGGTTCATTTCCTTCTTCCTCCCGTGCCCATTTCACAGAACCAGAGGCTCCCGTCTTTCCCTCCTCAGCTCCCTTCAGGGCACCCTGGAAAGAGCAAGTCCAGTCTTCCGATTTTCTTTCGCTGAATTTTCCACAATCCCAGACCCTTTTCTACTCACACTCAGTTCATCTCTCTTTGCCCAAATTTCCCGCCTTCCTTTCTCACTCTCGGACCATTCGTCCCCCACTCCGTCCCCGCGAGTTTCGCATCCCTTCGATTTCTTTCCGCAGGATTGCTTCTAGCTGCTTCAAATGTACTCTAATCCATTTGTCCTTACTTTTGCTCTTCTCCTATCTCTTCCTATCGTCTTCTTACTCGCCCCTCGTGTCCTTCCCCCTCGCCGCAGTTCCGTCCCTATTTCCCTCGACGACGAACTTGATGATCTTTCTCTCTTCAATCGCGCCGCTTCACAATCTTCTTCCAATGCTAACAATCCCTCCAAAGTTTTCCATCTTTCTTCTTCAAAAAATCCAAAGCTGAAGCTTGCCTTTCTCTTCCTCACAAACTCTGACCTACATTTCGCTCCTCTTTGGGATCGCTTCTTCGATGGCACCTCCACCAATCTGTACAACATCTACGTCCATGCGGATCCCACTGTGAACGTTACACGCCCCACTAGTGGTGTGTTCCGAGGGCGATTTATCGCAGCGAGGCGAACCCACCGTGCTTCTCCCACTCTCATCTCCGCAACGCGCCGACTTCTGGCAACTGCTCTCCTCGACGACCCCGCCAATGCCTACTTTGTCGTCCTCTCCCAGTACTGTATACCTCTCCACTCTTTCAGATATGTGTATCGTTCCCTATTTGTATCCTCTACATTCGATCTAACCTCACCTGAATCCGATTCCGCCTTGTCTCGCCTGGGTGTTCGGGAGAGGTACCGGAGTTTTATAGAGATAATCTCCAATGAGCCCCGCCTTTGGAAGCGATACATTGCCAGAGGTCGATTTGCGATGACGCCGGAGGTGTCATTCGAACAATTCCGTGTGGGATCTCAGTTTTTCGCGCTCACTCGACGGCATGCATTGGTGGTGATCAAAGATCGCGCCCTATGGAGGAAATTCAAATTACCGTGTTACAACGAGTGCTACCCTGAGGAACATTATTTTCCTACCTTGTTATCAATGGTGGATCCCGATGGCTGCACCAAATATACACTCACGCGAGTTAATTGGACTGGTACAGTGAATGGCCACCCTTACACGTACCGGCCTGCCGAAGTATCAAAGGAGCTCATTTATCGATTACGGGAATCAAATCAGTCAGATTCTTATTTGTTTGCCCGTAAATTTGCCTCTGATAGCTTGCAGCCATTGATTCGGTTAGCTAAATCAGTCATTTTCAAGGACTGAAATATGCTTTGGGTAAGTGATCTAATATCTCTATCTTCCGTTATTTCATTAATTTGGTTGGCGATCTTGTCGGCGTTTGGCATTGCAGGGGAGGGGGGCGCTCAATGGGTTGGAACTTTGCTGTTTGAAAAGTCTATCAATTTTTCCTTTCTTTTTTTTCATGCATTATATATTGGAATCACGGGTGGATGCTTTGTGCTTTCCCCTATCCTCCACTGACCGGCTATCATTCTTTGGTAGTTCCCTTTTTCCCGTATTGTCAAAATATCCCCATCTATCTTCAGGATCTTGTTTGGAGGTTGCGAATAAAAGCAATTGAAGGTTGAGAGGCTGTTGAAAGTTGGAGTGGTTAGGTTGCTGCTGCTTTAAGAATTAAGATATCAGGTGTGATAGATTTTACCGGGAATGGGATTCTTTCTTTATATGAAACTGTATTGGTGAACCGCTTTTGCCATTAGTGCCAAGCAAGCCTTATGATAGGGTTATGAGACATATGAATGTCAAAATACCGAAATACCACGCGTCCATTCTGGTTATTTTCTTTGTGGAAAGCAGAGCTGATGCTAAACGGTTCTAAACCAAGATGGCGAGGTCAATCCTTGTGAACGTAGCTGGAAGCATTCTCATGCCATCGGCCTCACACGATTGAAATCATTTGTAAACACGTTTCACATAAGCAGAGACAAAACTCCTCTCACATATTTATCTCGTATTTTGTAAATTACGATTGAAAAGCTACCTGTAGCCTATGCCAAACGGACCCATCGTCTGCTGGTTTTTTCCGGGTTGTTTCTGAGTTTTTCTATTTTTCTGCTCCATGTACGAATTATTTTCACATCAAGCACTTTCCAGCTATATTAGGATGTTTATTCGACGTAAAATTTCTATACCACATTCCGTGATTCAGCTAAACTGTATGAATTCTAATTCCGCAGGTGTAAAGATCAGTGAAGAATCTTAGTATGGCGAATTAGTTTTGCGTACTGTTGGAGCAGCTTGACGTGGCGTATATGGTTTTGAAGAGGCATGAACAGCCCACAACCTGTGTTAGCCCAGAACACTCCAACCGAGCGACTGAGAAACGGGATGAGGAATCAAAGGAGGAAACAGAGGAACAGATAGGCACCTTCGTGAGTTTGAATGAAAGGCAGTACTGTAGACAAGTGTATAATAGTAGATATAAGAAAAAAAGAGTGAGTGGCCATAGAAAGACGATGGTAGTCATGAGTGACTTGTTTTGTAGAGTGGTGTTGCTCTCACACCCTTTACTGAATTGTTTATAGCCAAAATTCACACTTGTGTTTTTATAGTCAGTGCGTGAATTCAATCATTAGTGTGTTGTTGTTGTGCGTATGAGAGGAACAGTGAGAAATGAACGTGAGAGTAATATTTTCCATTGAACAGGACGACTTCACGAGTTGTAGGTTGTATTGGAACGAACTCGAGCAACGGCCGAAAGGAAAAATGAAAGCTTCGCCGACATTAGGCCAGTTGCTTCTCCTTGCGCCAATCAATGGGGTTTATATGAAATTTGTTCCTTTTATTTTATTCCACGAATGGGCCCGAAAGAGCGAGGAACGAAGAGGATTCAGATCCCTCCATTCCTTCTCCACTTCTTTTTCTTTCCTTTTGTTCTTTTTGGATTTTTCTATTCATCTATCGTATTTCTCCCTGTAAAAGTAATGATATTTAGGGTTTTTGGACTTTAGGTTCACACTAGGCGGGACTGGCTAATTAGAAGACTTCATGTTCAATGTAAGGATAAAGTGTGTAAAAGGAATCTGCCTGAGGAACTCATGCAGTAATAATCACCAGAAAAGTTCAATGAGTTAATTAAAATTATTTAAACAGAAAAAGAGAAAGTAGGGGGCAAAAAAAGCCAGGCAGCGTTCCTTTCTTTCCCCGTGGCCGTGGGAACAAGAAAATTGAGTCTGAGGCAAGCCAGATCTGATGAAAAAACAAATCAGATTTGGTCAGTTCAACTGGAAAATAAAGTGAACCAACTAGTAATTTGATTTAGTTAGTTATTAAACCGAGTGGTAGTTGAATCAAATTGAAACGAAAAGGTAAAAATCGGTGTGAACCGATTTGAATGATTATATTATTCTTGGTTCTGTTTTTTTTTTATTCAATTCTTAATATCTTAGTTATCATAAATTTAAATGAATTTTAGTGATGATTTTCATATTAATGATTATTAATTTTAGTTATTGATGAATCATAAAAATCAAAATTCTTAATGTTATTGTACTTTGTCATTATTGCAATAAAACAGTTCTTATATTTTGTTATTAATTATTATTAATATTATTATATTTTTAATTATTTTAATATGATTAGTTTGATTTCAAGTTGACCCCAATATGACTAACTGATCCTTAAACTATTACTTCAATCAGTTTAATGTCTTGTCAGGTTTTTTTGTTTCTTAGTTGTAGCATCTGCATCAAGCAACATTGAAGCCGTTCATCGTCGCAGGTTCAGATTGGATTACCTTTTACACACACATATAAGTTTAGATAAATTAAATATTGAGAACTCATTAAGATGTTTTGTGATTAAAAACATTTGCAAAAGCATTTATACATCGTTCGGTAACAATGTTCTCATGCGACAGTAGAATTCGAAATTATAAGTTTTTACCAACTCGACCAATTTTTATTGACTCGCGTCGGACTTTAATTGCTTGACGCTGATTTTAAAATAAAAGAAAACTAAATTTTACCGCATCTTGATTGAAAATGATAGACGAATCGGATCTTACAATAAAATAAAAATAAATTCTGACTTCACATCACGCTGGCTATGCTGGGGTCAGCACTTTGACTGGGGAAGAGCAATAAGTGGACATTTTCGCTTTCTGACAAAAATTGAGAGTGTCGGTGGGCTCATGATTCTTTCTCTTTTCTCAATAAATATTTACAAATTTTATTTTCCTTGTCGGCGGTGTTTGCCAGGAGCCTAACAGGTGTTGGACCCTGATTCACGGCAAATGATAATCTAATGCGCCATGTTTGATTCATGTTTTTGGTATTTTATTCTGTATGGACAATGATCTAGAGGAAGGGGGTTGGGTGAGGACTCACGACATAAAGAATTAAGACTTAAATTTTTTATTGAGAGAGTTATTCATATTAAATATTCAAAAAAATCTCAAACAAAATTATTTTTAATAAGAAAATACTTGTATCTAGAAAATAGGATTTATTTCAATTTTTTATGTACATTCTTGCAGGGCTAGCTAAAAGTTGCCCTCTCACGTATGTATTTGCAAATTGCGATTGGGTTAGCATTCATTCATCACGGGCCCTTGCTTGACAATTTCTTTTCATTTAACAGACGGCTCCGTGTAGGAAAATATTTTCCCGGCGCTTAAACAAATAATAAAGGCCTACGTAAAAGAGCCAAAAACCCGGTCTCCCGTGCCTCCTGGTCGTCGTCCGCTGAATGAAACTTTTCAGCCAAAGCACATTATCACGTTCATATAATTTTTATGTTGAGATTCGCGGCCAGCAAAAAGAATGCATAAGTTGATGGCGGAGGAAAAAACAAAAGAAAAATAAATGCGCTGGTATAATTGTGCAAGTGGGTTTCAAGTTCCTGGAAACAGAAGCAAAGGGATCAAGGCAATCGTGCGAATAATAAATTATCTCCTTCTGGCAAAGGTCTTGTTGTCCGCTTTCAACTACGGATCTCTTCGTATTTTTATATTTTCGTTCACCGAACGATGTCCGGGGACGTCAAAGATCTCCATCCAGACTCATTTAAAAACTAAAACAGGTTTAAGGCTGCGCCATTAATGAGCGGTTAGCTAGGATTCTGTTTTGTCTTTTTCAGCAAAACAAATGCACCATCGTAATAGAATATCTTACGACACGTTTGCGAGATAATCATAGTGTAATATATGCTTTAAATTATATTAATGAAGGTCGCTTCCTTTCATATGTATCAGCTACCTCATCTCCATGGACTGAACACAATTTACAGTAAAACATCAATTTGCCTGCATTCATTAACAAGAGCAAGACCATACAGAAAATTTTCAGCTATCATGTACAAAACAAAACAAAGAAGAAGAAGAAGAAGAATTTGGGTCATCTATCATGTACTGTATACGGAAAAAGAATGTACTAATATTTCCTCTCCCCACAAACATAATTTATTGTGGAGCTACAAAAAAATATGGAGATAATGCAAGCTTTAAAGCTGATGTGATGCTTAACTCGGGATGAAACAGCACAGGCCTCTGTAGCTTCAGCTTTCGATCTGCCGTAAGACTTCTGCAATTAATCAGGGATGAGAAAATACAGAAAATGGCCAGCGCCTGCAACTTCCTGGGTTTGAGGATCTCATGAACCAAGATTGCTAAGACTAAAATAGAGAGTTCTTTGTTGAAAAGCATTTATGGCATAATCCACTTGAAAGTGACCGCATTGTGATTTACACCGAAGTCCATATCCCAACCCAATACCAGATCCTGGTTTACCCTGTCTCAAGGATGGATTTCCTGAATTTCCAATATTAGGATCATGAGTTCACTGTCACATAAATAGGGATATAGGAGAAAGGCAACAAAAATGATCCACTATAAACAGAAATAAATAAATCAAATGTTATCAAAATTAATTACTCCCTGTCAAAAAATTGTGTCAACGTAAAATCAGTAAAGTAAAACTGAAGGGAGTGTGTGGCAAAGTTAGATGAAGTCTTGCACAAGATCTGCTTTCATGTGACCTATTTAGTTGTTCAGCATGAGAATGGAATTTGAGTTGAAGCTAGGGTATTTAGCTCAGGATAAAACTCCTGATGAAAATAAATAATATGGAATGGCCATTTCTATGAATATGACCTAGCTCTAGCTTGCTTATCATCGAAGCCCTTATAAATCAATACAAATTGTTTCTCAACAAAAAGGCTTACAAATACCACTTGAGTGAGATGGGTTCAGAATCATTCTATTTACAATTCTGCGGCGCCCCACCCCAAGCCAACTTTTCATTTTTATCAAATCCACATAATGGATCTTTTATGTAGTAGACAAAAGTATGGATAATTCTTAATATGGGAAGGCCTGGAATGCCTGTCTTTCACTACAGAAAATTCCAATCTAAAATTACGCACAGGTGGAAGTAGTTGCAATTATTCCAGATCCAGTCCAGACCAGATTTTAGATGACTGGAATTACATATGGAATACTTTTGTTCATAAAATATGCCCACTGCAAAAGGCTACACTATTCTTGGCTCTTCAATTAGCTATAACTACAGGGTAATCAGGCTTTGCCGTTTTGCCCACAGGTCAAACTTTGTGACAAAAGTAACAGATGAACTGTTTGGGCTGCTCCATTTTATCTAGACAAATGACCTGAACAGATCGTGCTCAATTTCCACTTGACAAGCAGAAGAGAAGCGCAATCTAAAATAAACTCCTATGCTGGGAATTAGAATTTGGCACTTGGCAGAACTGATAGCTTAAAATTGCCATATGTTTAGCTTAGATCGAAATCTCCTTGAAGTCTTCAAAGAAATGAGGACCAAATCTTCTTTCACCAATAATTAAGATATTTAACAGCTTGTAAGTATCCAATCCCCATGATAAGTATTCATTTAATAATTAAAAGCCTTTGTAAAAGAACTAGTAAATAAATCAGGACAATTACTGTCAGATTTCAATAAAAGGAAAATTTGCAAGTCACTCTCAAGTATCCTGAGCAGAAAGATATCACTCACCAGGTACAAGATGACCAGATCCTAAATCAGTTCCACAATCAAAGAAAACAGCTGCTTCCAACATCTTGTTCTGCAGCAAGGGAGCAGTCAAGTAGTTTAGTTCATGGTCATTTAACGATAAATGTGATAGATTCAAAAGATGTGTGTAACATGCTTGTATCTAAGTCTGAGTGTGTCAGTGCTTCTGTGATGGAAAAGGTAAAGACATGACTAGTTTTTTTGTCAAACAGATATGTCATGCATCCCTTCCATTTTTGTGTAAAAATGAGACCAATGTCTACATATATTTATGGCCTGCTCAGCAACAAAATTCAGGAGGATTAGATGTTTTAATCAACAACAGAGATCTTTGTACTTGTAACTCTGGAAGCATGTAGCAGAAGGGCTGGATATGATGCACTGGGCAGAAATTATGATTCCAAAACCTGACAGGCAAAATATAGATTTCAAGAATGGAAATCTCTAAGAGCAGTCGGGCTTGTGTATCAAAAAGGGTAAAAAGAAAAAGGAGTAGCAGGGCTTTGATACAAATAAAGCCACAAAACTGGAACAAAAATCAGGGACTAGAGGGCAGGATAGGGACACTAGTCAATTTAACCATTTGAATGAGTTGCGAGCAAAATGGATAAACCTCAACCCGAAGAAATAATACTCCATCAACCTCTGCCCAAATGATTATATACTATAAATAGGGGTTTAAGATGCTTTCACATTTAAAATTGTAAAAGAGTTTTTTTTCATGAGATAGGAAATATGGGATCAGGCTCCGGACAAAAGGGGCAGAAGGAAAATCAAGCTTACTAGCACCTTACTAGGCATAGTAGTTGTACTTACTAACAATATACAACTTAAGCCAGTCCTTTTCCCCAAAAAATAACAGTTTAGTGGCACAATAGCGTGAACAAAAAATATGAATAAACTCATCACTAACCAAAGGGATTTTCAGTTCACTATTAGCAACCAGACATGATCGCCCTGATCCAACAGCTCCTTCACCATATCCGCGCACACTCCCAAGCCCTCCAATGGAAAAGGCTTGGTAAGGAGCCATGTCCCCAACGATTGAACCACCTGTAAGGCTGTCAGAGGGAAAGGTAAGGATGATAGCGGAAAAAAGAAAGAATACAAAAGGAGGATAACTATATATCAGGTAAAAATCGGGATTTATGAGATATAAAGTTTATTTCAAGTGCTTGAGACTCTAAACATAAATGGATTATAAGTTCTTTTATTTATTTATTTATTTTGTTGGGTCGGGGACTGACATTATAAGTCTATTTCAGTTCTACTTTGATAAGATTCAGAAAAATACCATGTGCCCATCATAAATGTTCTTCAGAGCTTTTAGCCCTATGAAGATAATCTATTTTAGCCACTAACTCGTTCTCAACCCCCCCTCCCAACACACACACACACATTCATAGCAACAATTTCACATTTTCAAGATGAATCCATGCCTTATATATCGCCCATTCACAGTTTTTATTTAAGGCTGACATCACAGATGATGTTTCATTGTTTCTTTAACAACAATTAGCATTTCTTCTTTGATGCCTCTTAACTAAATTAAATAAAAACATAGTAACCATTAAGGCCATAACTGCTAGAAAATGCTAACCTTGTCAAGAGAAAAGTTGGTCCAAGTTTGATTCCTTTGGAAGCAGCGAACTTAAACCGATTGAAGATTAGCCACTTGGAAAGAACTGGAATACCTTGTTCGATTTGAAGATTGAACTGAAAAAGGCAACGGGATTTCAGTCAGTGGAAGACAAAGACAACTGGATAATAAGCAGAAAAATAATTTATTACTTGGAGAAAGCTACGATCATCTGCCTTTGCAAATCGAGACTCCTGCTTTAACACTACCATACTGTCATGTGGATTACCACTGCAACAAGTAATTTGCATCATACGGTCAAATCAGTCCAACAGTAAGAGTACAAGAATACTGGAAGCCCTGATTACCTGCAAGTCAAAGGAAACCCTTCATAATCTCTACTTATGGAGCGACCATCGTCATTCACTGGACGCACGTGCTGCATGGTTTGCCATAATTAGTTTCCACTCTACCATCGGCAAATCTAAAACTGTAATCTTGTGGATAATTAAAAAGCACAAAAACAAACACAAATTGGGCAAGAATGTTTGATAGATTCGTGAAACATCCAACTTAACCTCAAATTTTATGCTGGTTGTGTTTCTCCATTTTGAACTTGGTGGTTCATTCAGATCCAGACCCATGGAGAATCGAGATAAATTTATGCCTCCACTACCTGAACGGGAGAAGTTCTCTATAGGTATACCATGGACTCCAATGTCAGGTGAGAGAGAATGCTGAGAGAGAACGGGGAACAAGAATCATAAATTTAGGAATATGCTATTATGTCGACCAAAAAATTCTATATCTCATTCCAGAGAAAAGTAATAAGTATTGTTCAGTAAACCATTGCGTTGTCCTTATGCCATACAAAATAACAAGTATATAAAGCATCAGCAGGAGCAGCAGTAGCAGAAGAAGAATGTACACCTGTATAACAAAAGACTGCTGAGCTAGCCACTCGGGTCGTGGCCTTCTGTAAGCAACCAGGATATTTGAATCATATAGACCTTTATCCCACGAAACATCAAGCTTCTCGCTTCCTCCAAATAAGTTAGGATGTTTGATGCAGAGACTAAAGGAAAAGGTTGGAATAAATCATTACACTGTTTTGGGAAAACCAAGGACACAAAAATAACCCACATCACTGTAATATGCTATCATGTCGAGCAAAAAATTCTATAACAGCGCGTTCTCAGATCTTAAATGTGCCCCAACAAAGAACTCCGTTAAAATACATCACTGTAATACAATCTCTGAAAATTTTAAATCCATATCACACTATTATAACATTATAAACACGCAAGAAACAGACTTAGACTTTTACCTCCCAATTATCAGCGAAAGTGGACTGCCGGAACTCCTGATAGAAAGAAATGTAAATAACTGGTGAGGAATTTTGCTTATAGGAATTCAAAACAATATTGATAGATTTCAGCAAATACCTGAGCGCAGGGAACATCAAAGAAGCACACAGCTTGTGAGTGAAATCAACATTGACGTCAATCTTAGCTGAAAACACTCAAACAGGTAGAAGGCGTTATGAGTGGAAAGAGGAGAGACACTAACGCTCGGAAAAAGAGATTATGTAGTTCAGAGCGTAAAATGGAAGGCTTGAGCATTACTAACCTTTACCAGCATGGATGCTCTTCTGAGCTCCCATCCTATTAAAGGTGCATCAACCATTAAACTAACCAATATTACGAGGGAAAGGACGAATTTTGAGCCAGTACAACACTAGAGGCCTCGAATAGAGAAATAATTCTGGAATGCGAGGAGAGAGCGCGGCGTTTTGTAATATGCGAACAGCGAACGAAATGCTTGTACTTTTTAACGTCCCCCTGCAGCCGAAGTTGTTCCTACCTTCCAAGTTCTGTTATCCCTTTTCTCCTTCGCAGGTCTTGCTTGCACGTGAGGGCGTCCCGCGAAGGCGTCTCTCCCTCTCGCCGTTCACGTGCCAGGGCTGTGACTTCGGAAATGGTTCCAGTGTATGTTAGTTTGGCCCACAAATGATCATATTTTGTTGGGTACTTTGTATATCGGCATTGTGGGGGAAGAATATCCGCCGGTGAAAAATCAGCTTTGTTTTCTTCATAACACTGGCCCATCTTTTTCTGGACTTCTCTCGCGCACACCCAGGATCGAAACCGATATGTCCTCAATTCTAGAGGTAGAGGACCAGCGTGCCATCAAGCCCAGTAGACTTCGGCTCCCAGTGTGAAGTAGTTTGTTCTTGCATCACGTGTGCTATTATAGTTTTTTTTTTGGTCAAACGCTAACGTTCGCATTAGGAAAAAACTTAATTCAGGTTCTCTAATCACGTATTAACATATACTGCCTCCCGTCCTAATTATAAGAGCCAGTTGACTAATTTGAAGAGATCAAAGAAGTAAGCTGAGTTAGTTATTTGTTATAAATAGGTGTTGTCTTTCCTAAAATATTCTTACTAATCAAGTGTATAGACTATAACTCTTATTATTAGAAAGGCTACTTTAGAAAAAAAAATATAAATATGAGAGAAAAAGTGGATTGGGGTCTTATATTTAGGATCAAAATAAAAATCAAACAAGATCTTATATTAAGAACCGGTGGTAGTATATTTTTTTTATTTTATATGAATTTATAATTAAATATTTATATTTTAAAAATAAAATATATAGTTATGTGTGATTGAAACACTTACATAACGAATATAAAAATTTTGATGTAAATATTATGCTTAGTAATGTTACTAAAAGATCACAACCAAAAAAAAAAGAAAGAAAGAGGCACCCAGTTGAACAGAAGCAGCAGTGCCTTTATCTTTATACCAGAAAGATGTGCATGGAAGGACTAATGCTTCTAATACGAACAACTGTTACAAGAAATAAATGTTGAGAGTGTCCAATTGAAATACTCCCAATCAGTTGGCAAATAGGAAGAGAATATTACCTCTGTTACTTAATATAATAGCTAATCGACTAATTTGAATAAATTAAAAAAATTTGTTAAGTTAGTTATATGTAATAAATATGTATTATTTTTTTCCTAAAATACCTTTGTCAATCATAAATATTAGCTAGAACTACCGTTTGATGGAACTTCTAACAAGTGCGGCTACTACATGAATTCCTTTGAAAAAAATAAATAAATATGAGAATCAAAATAAATGGGGGTCATGTGTTTAACACCAAATTAAATACCAAACTAACTTTTATATTAAGGAACAGAAGCAGTATATTTTAGGAAAAACTAATTTGACAGTCCTTATGGTTTTATCAAATTTTGAATCAGGTCCCTATATTTTTTTTCCTTTTTATTGAGTCCTTATTCTTTAGTCTGTTAATTATCTCAGCCCTTCTGTTAACAAAGCGTTAAATTAATTGCTAGTGAATGATATGGCAACTAAGCACATTGTCCCCCCCCCCCAAAATGCTCCTCTCAATCTCTTTCGAGGTAAAATATAAAGACGTTAGCAGAGGGAAGTTTTTAAACATATGATTTTAATGCAACCATGAGAAGCTTTAGATGCTTTATTCTTGCTAGTCCCCCCATTCTGCGTACACCCAAAAATTGGTTCATATTCATGGAATAATTTGCCGCTGTCATCCATTACGAAGGTTATCAATTCCTTCTTTTCCACATACTAGCCAATAAGTCAAATAAATTTTGATCCTTTTTTCTTCTTCCTCCTATCATTTTTTTGGACCGGTTAGAAGAGAACAATCCTTTCCCATGAAATTTGTTCTCAGATGTTACTTAGGAAACAAGTGGATACATTCTGATACGTAAGCTAGAGATATGTATTATTTGCTGATTTCATTGCACCTCCCTCTGTTAACCTTTTTTGTCCCTCCTCTGCTTTTTTTTTTCCCCCGCTGATCCTTAAGTAACGTTGCAGAATAAGAGAGCTGAAAAGTAATGGCCAAACAAAGGAGAGCATGAACAATTTACTTCGAAGGAGATGGAGAGGAGTAGAGAGAGAGAGAGAGAGGCCGAGGGAGACGGGGAAAGAACAGTGTCAGTTGCCACATCACTCACCATCAATTAATTTAACGGTTTTGTTAACAGAAGGGCTAAGATAATTAACAGACTAGAAAACAAGGACTCAATAAAAAGAAAAAAAAATTATAGGGACTAAATTCAAAATTTGATAAAACTATAAGGATTGTCAAATTAAGTTTTCTTATATTTTATGAAATTTTTTTTAACTATGACTACTGGGCCAGGCCTATCTACGAACTGAAACAAAACCCTGCACTGCAACTGTGTTTTTAACACATATGCTTGTGCTGAAAATTTACGTGCTGAGGTATAGATGGAAGAGCAAGAGTGTTAAGCTAGTCTGCTGATTGCTTGAAATATAATGAATTATGTTAGTCCTATAAACAACCCTACACACGTATCGAAATGGACTTTGGGTCCATTAAGTTTGGGGCCTTCTTTGTTGGGGCCGAACAGCCAAATAATATTTCGTAAATTAAATTAGAAATTCAGACTTCAGAGTATCAGGCCCAAAAAAGGGGCCTTCAAAGCCGGGTGTACAAGACTAACTGGTTCTATAAATATTTTTTGGGGGACCAATAATTCTTTTTTAGCTAGGCATGTTCTCATATTGAAAGTAGCAATGTTTGAGATGCTATCAATACTAAATGTAAGCATATTTTTTTAATAGAATTCAAATATTAATTGACCATATTATAAGAAATTAGGCCATGTCACAGCATGAGACCCAATATCCTGAATGGGCTAATGCAGAGAATGTTTTTAGAGGGAGAGTCAAACACGGAAAATAAAGAAACGCACGGAGACGATGTGTTTAGAGAGGGTAAAGAAATGGCCTGTACACGAGGCTCACATGGCATGATTATGTACAGGGCTTACTACTCGCATTTCTGTGCATCTGTTTATCAGAATACAGTGTTCATGCCCATTTTTTTCATAAGACGCCCCGGCGGCTGGTTGTGGGACTTAGTCAAGGGATCCATTCATTGAACTCGTCTTGCCAGCTCAGTAAAGGACATCGTCAAACGTCAATGTCAAGTCCAAGGAATAAAAACCAAGAGACCAATCTTTTATCCTTGGTCAGGCCATGTGTCGTCCACTGCTTTGTCCACTACCTTCTTCGTGAACTGATGGTGCCGAGTACTTCTTCTTCTAAATGAAACCACCCTGTCATTAGTTAGCTTTTATATATTCATTCGCCCCCATAATGTCTCGTGCATCCAAACTCGAGTGAGTGCAAATGATAGAAATGCTCATGGCAGTACTGACAAATTGACAATCGTTAAGGCTATCTGAGGGTTATAGCCTATAGGGGAGCTATAAGAAGCCAACATTCATTGTGCATTTGTCACACGATACATGACGATATTCTTTTCATATAAGACTAAAAAGGAAGCTTTTCTTTGGGAATTGTGACGCAGAGGAAAGAGCAAAATTGACGCAGTATTATTTCATCGTCGTTCTCTCCGTTTTTTTTTTTTTGAAGTCATATTTTTATGCGAAAGTTATCCTTTTTATCCCGCCTAAAGTATATTGACCCTTTGACTGTTTTGTTTTGCGCTCGCGCCCGCGCTCAAACTTTTCACGGGAATTTACGTTAGTAATAAAAAGAAGGGCGTCTGTTGAGGGGAATCTGATTGAGTTGGATTAATAATAGTCGGCTTGTTAAGAATTTTGCAATATAAATATTAATAAATGTCAAATTAAATTGATATCAGTATTTTATATACAATTGAAACAGTGAACTTGCCAACATGACGCATGCCTTTGCGCGCTGCTAGCTGCGTTGTTGACCTTCAGGCCGAGGCTATACAAAGTGGCTGGCTGAAGGGAAACCTCCTGAGAATCAGGCACCGGCGTAGGCCGTTAACAGTTTATCAAAAATTCAAAATTACTGGTCATCCCGGTTATCCGATCTCCATTCTCCACCGTAACATGCACTTGGCGCCGCCGCGCAATTTCTTCCGTACATCAATTGCCTGTTGATTCCGGTCATTAACTGCCCCCCTCTTTTTTAGAGGGAGAATATTCATATTCGTATTTTCTTAAAAAAAAAATAGGGAAAGGTAGAAAAAAGATTAGTGAGAGAAACATACAACAACTTCAACTCTGAGAGAGGAGGAGACAGCCAGCTATTGCTAGACAGAGAAAGTGATTGGATTTAAGTTTATCTTAATTATTTCTTTCGCTTTTGGGTTGTGAGTGAGTCTGTTTGGGGGGCCTTGAGGCTGTCTCCGTCTCGTATCGTTTTTGGACCGCTTCTTTTCTGAGCTTCACGGAGGGGGGAGAGAGAGGGGAAAACCTAGGGGAATTTCCGTCTAGTGGATACTGTTTTGAAAAATTTACGTGTTCCTTGTTGAATTAAAATTGTCGAGGATCTGAGCTAGGGTTTTCGATCGTGGTTATTAAGTTTGTGTGTTTTAAGCGTTTGGATTTGAGGAGGCAATTGCAATGTTGATTGGAAATGCGATTATACACGGATTTTAGCTCCGATCTTAAGAAAGTTGCCTAAATTTCTGAGTGAAGCTATGGATGTCGATTCCTCGATGGCACCGGAAAGCGATCACGATCGTGCTGTGCAAAATCACACTGCTAGTCAGCCTCCGGCAGCTATGGATAGAGAGCAGCGGGGAGAGCAGCCGTCGTCCGGAGACGAGTCTCAGGCACAGTCGCCAGTGCAGCAGCAACAGCAACAGCAGGCGGCTGCTCAGCCGCAGCAGAGTCCTGTTGTTGGACCTAGGCTGGCGCCAACTTACACTGTCGTGAATGCAATTCTAGAAAAGGAGGAGGATGGGCCAGGGCCGAGGTGCGGCCACACTTTGACGGCGGTGGCAGCTGTTGGAGAGGAGGGTACACCTGGATACATTGGTCCGAGGCTGATTTTGTTTGGTGGTGCCACTGCACTTGAAGGGAATTCTGCGGCTGCTGGGACTCCTTCATCCGCCGGGAATGCTGGCATACGTATGTGTTTCATGAATCAATTATCTCTTCGTATTATGCTCTGCACGTTTAACGTAACTGAGAGATTATGGATATTCAAACAATTAAGCTGCGTAACTATTGTCATTAAGTGTTAGAATTTGGAAAGTTTAGTTGCCGTTTGGTCTGGTCTAGTTTCTGCTGTTTGAGTGAGTATCCAATCGCAACGTTGTTTTATATGCTTAAATGTACCGAATTAATGATTTTCTGACCTATTCAATTTTTGGGACATCTGTTGTTGGCCTCTGTGAACTAGAATGTTTCCTAACAAGGGCGTTATGCTGTTCGCTAACTTTGCTTTGTTAAGTACGAAAGTCTCGGAACAGATTATTTAAATTGATGGCAGGGAATGGACTTGGACAGTATCGTTTAAGAAAAATAGAATAATTTAGGTATATATGCTCGGATATGAATTTATCATTTATAGAACTTTCACCCTTTTACAACTATTTTTCCTGTATATTTTGGTGAATATTGTGAAGTATAGGCGAAAACCTTTCCAGTCCATCCTCCTTAGGCCCACTTCTGGTGGGAACATTAAGTTGAAGAGGGATATGGTTCTTGGGAACGCTTCATTTTTGTGAATTTCTTTAATTCCTTTTTGCTTTTCCATGACGATGCACTTGAACAGCAGGTTTTGCTATTGCTTCTTTTATGTTCAAAACCATTTCACTAGTGTTTCATTCATTGATTGAAATAAGTTGTCAGTGAGATTTGCTCTCTTCACGCCTATTTTGTGCACTTGGATTCTGTTTGCTATCGCATATGGCATATCCCTACCTCCTAGATGTTATCGACCATAGCTGGGTTGGACCACTTTACACCTATCCAAGTTGCTGTGCATGCATGCCTTGCATTTGGTTGTTCCATATAATACGCACCCAAAAAAAAAAAATCCTCCTCGTTCTTGAATTCATGGGGATTTGTTGTCATCCACTTGTCAACCTGTAAGGAATAGTGTGAGGTGAAGGGATTAATTCTTTAATTTTGCATGCTAATTTTTTGGTTTGACAAGAATAAATATTGATTTGATAGGATTGGATTGAAAGTTGCTTGATGAGGAAGTGAAATTGCTATATTACATCTTTAACAATTTTAAGTGATAAATGCTCCATGCTCTAAATCGCACAACTCATATATCTTGCAGGTTTAGCTGGTGCCACGGCTGATGTTCACTGTTATGATGCCTTAACTAATAAGTGGTCTAGGTAAGCTTAAAATAGAAGTCTTTTCTTTTCATCCTGCATTGAGGCTTAAGTAATATTTCTATGCCCTTCTCTACTTGGCTTTCATGCTAATAAGTGAATTATAACATAGGATAACTCCCTATGGAGAACCTCCAACCCCGAGGGCTGCACATGTGGCAACTGCTGTAGGAACGATGGTAGTAATTCAGGTATCATGCAGAGGGTAGATCATGTTATCTGTGTCTCAGACTATTAGTAGATTCAGTCCCCCCCCCCCCCTCTGTATATCAGAGTTCTTAGTGGAACATTGCATTGCAAAACAGGGTGGCATTGGTCCTGCTGGTTTGTCAGCAGAGGACCTTCATGTTCTTGATCTCACTCAGCAACGACCACGATGGCACAGGTTGGATTTGTAATCTGTGTGAATTTTTCTTCACGTTTCTGATAATATTTATCTAATATAGCACCTGTGAATTCTATCTAGAGTTGTTGTTCAAGGCCCTGGACCAGGGCCACGTTATGGACATGTGATGGCTTTGGTGGGGCAGAGGTATCTTATGGCAATTGGAGGAAATGATGGTAACGACCTTAGTGTTAGTTCATTAGCATTGTGCGCCATGAAAAAAAAAAAAAAGGAGTTTTAAACTGGTATATTACTTGCTTTCCAGGAAAAAGACCTTTGGCTGATGTATGGGCCTTGGACACAGCTGCCAAGCCTTATGAATGGCATAAATTGGAGCCAGAAGGAGAAGGCCCACCACCATGCATGTACTCTTCTTTCTTTACCAATTCTTCATTTTAATGAACGAAATTATTGACCCTGCTGTGCACATAATTATTTTAAAGGGCTGTTAGTACACGACAGTTTCCATCTATGTTGTAGCCATTGACTTCTTTAGCCAGGTTTCGTGGTCTGTTACTTTTTGGCACAGCAGCAAAGACTAGGAATTTGTGAAGTCTGTGCCATTGAATTATCTGTAATTTTCATTGTTCTTTCATGTCAACCATTTTATCTGTTGCTTTATTGCTTCAAAATAAAATTTACCTGGTTAGGATTGCCACAAGCTTCGTTGCCCTTAATCTTTTTTCTTACTTATAATTCTCCAGTACGGAGGCTCAGAAGGCCATGTGCATTGAACCTTCGCCTAATTCTTGAAATATTTAAAAGGAATGCAGTCAATTTTAAATGCTACATTCTGCTTTAGTTCACTTTTTTCTGTTTTGTAAATCATGAGATAATATGGTCAATGTGATGACTAGAAGTAATGTTTTGTTTCCTGGAAGGGGCAGCTTAGCGTGGCATAGTGTTATATGCTATGCTCACAAATGCTTATTGCTTGTTGTGAGCATATAAAGGACTTTACCATAGAAAATGTCAACATGTAATTATGGAAACTATCTCTTGTAATGAATTGGCTATCATTTAGTGCTTGAAATTTTTTTGAGATAATGTTGGTTGAGTTTCATGCTTCCATTTATATTTTGAGTAGGTATGCAACTGCTAGTGCACGCTCTGATGGGCTTCTTCTGCTTTGTGGAGGAAGGGATGCCAATAGTGTGGTGAGTTCTTTGTTTTGAATTTTACGTTTCACTTATTCTTTTGACTTAGTTTATCTGGGAAGTCTTGCATTTATTGCATGCAATGGTCCCTTGTGTGCATCTGGGTCCTTGCAGAAAGTTCCTTTTTTCATAACAAATGGTATATGTTGAGAGGGGCTTTTTTTTTTTTTTTTTTTAAATTATTGTAGTTTTATTTGTACATATTGATATTTGAAATTTTAGGAGAAAATATTCACTTTTCACTGTAGTACTTTGTGATTGGGAATTTAAGTCCAGTTCTACTTCAGTTAATTACTCAGGATGGTTAAATTCCTTCAATGGCATTGATAGTGCCATTTTAAGTTTGAGTGGTGTAAATCTAGAGTTTGGTATTCCTAGTAATATCTATCTTGCTTTCCTGACCCACTGGCCATTACCACTAATACTAATTGTTTGACTTTTGTTTAATTTCTGTTCAACATTTTTCTTCAGATCTCGTGAATTGTTCCCTTGTAAGCTATTTCAAAACTTTTCTATTCTTCTGCCTCTTGTGATGGGCTTGTTTCTTGCAGCCATTGGCTAGTGCATATGGACTTGCAAAGCATAGGGATGGTCGATGGGAATGGGCAATTGCCCCTGGTGTTTCACCATCTCCAAGATATCAGCATGCAGCAGTGGGATTCGGTTTCTTTTGTTTTGTTCTGTTAACTTAGTTGATGATATATTCCTGGATCATAATAGTTTGATTTAACGATTCTAGGTATTCGTTAATGCAAGGCTCCATGTGTCGGGAGGGGCTCTTGGTGGAGGGCGCATGGTAGAAGACTCATCAAGTGTTGCAGGTACTGGGATAATAATATTGCCTAAAATTTTCCCGTTTGTTGAGTGCGTCTGCTGTATTTTTTAATTAATATTGATAGTTATTGGGGAACCCTACCCAAAAGCTAGCCGTTGAAGTGGGAGTATTAGCTCGCTTAAATACCCCATTGAGCATCCCATGCCCCTCAATGTGGGGCTATGTATTCCATACTAACTAGTCTCCATCAAGTGTGTGTGTGTGTGTGTGTGTCATTTTTATTGTTTTTTATGGCTTTGTTTGATCCAAAAGGCAACTAGTAGTTGTTGGTTGGTTTAATGCCTTTGCTTCTCCTATCTTAAACCCTCACTGGTTGCATCCTGACAGAAGAGTGACTTCTAAAACTATTACTTTTAATCAAAATAAAATGGAAATTCTACTTAAGGGTATTTCTCTGGTCCTAGTTGGTGCCATGACCTGGAGCCCTTGACCTATGTAGAGGCAATATCTAGCCATGATCCTGTCAATGCTTTATTTTTTCAGAAAAACTTATAATATCTCTCTCATATGTAGTGTTGGATACTGCTGCTGGTGTTTGGTGTGATACCAAATCTGTTGTTACCAGTCCAAGAACTGGTAGATACAGTGCTGATGCAGCTGGTGGAGATGCCTCAGTTGAATTGACAAGGCGTTGTAGGCATGCAGCTGCTGCCATTGGTGACCTTATTTTTATATATGGAGGTTTACGTGGTGGTAAGATATGAACTGAGCTCCTTCTGGATTTAACTTGAATTGTATTTCTCTCGCTTGATGTCAGATGATAATTTGATTTGATCTATTTAGTCCACTAAATCAGACCTAATTGGGACGAAATTTCAGAGGCTATCTAATGCTGTTGGAAGAATTGGGAGGAAACTAATTATGGAATGGTTTGATGAGCATGAAATTCATAGCTTTCGTACTATTGAACATGTGAATGTTCAGCATGACTTTTCAAGAAACTAGAGTTGGGAAGAGAACTTAGACAGCTAAGAGAAACATGGTTTTAGTGATATCTGTAGGCCCTCTACTGGCTCAATCTATGACATAGTAACGAACAATTTAGAGCAAGAAGTATACTGGTGAAAAAGTCAGTAAAAGCTTTGATCTTAGGCCAAAATGTTTTGTATTGGTGTAATATGAAGTATTATTTCAGTCCGACGTATGTTTCCTTGTAATTTAAGTATCTTTTAGTTTTTTTTTTCTTTTTTATTATGTGGTCTTGACTTGAAAATAGCTAGCATGTTTCTATTCATCTTTCATAATTCATGGTGGTTTGTCAAAGGGAGATTTTGGGGTTTAATTTGTCTTCAACTCCTCTGGAAATGTTCTCCCGGGAAATAAACCTTGTTTTCTTTTTCTTTTCTTTTTTTTTTTGGGGGGGGGGGGGTGTTGTTTCACATTTTGAAAGCCGGACTGACCATTATATGTTGGATTTGTACTGCAGGAGTATTGCTCGATGACCTACTTGTTGCTGAAGATCTTGCTGCTGCTGAAACAACAAATGCTGCTTCGCATGCTGCTGCTGCAGCAGCTGCATATAATGTGCAAGCAGGACGATTACCTGGGCGATATGGATTTGTTGATGATAGGAACAGGATGTCTGAAGCAACTGCTGATGGTTCAGTTGTCCTGGGAAATCCTGTGGCTCCCCCTATAAACGGTGACGTGTATACTGATATTAGCACTGAGAACGCCCTGCTTCAGGGACCCCGGTAAGATAGTGATCATTCACACCAGATGAAGTAATTACATATTGTTGCATGTTTGGCTTCATCATTCGCTGGATGATATTTGAACAGGAGGACTAGCAAAGGCGTTGAGTATCTTGTTGAAGCATCAGCAGCAGAAGCTGAAGCTATAAGTGCCACATTAGCTGCTGCTAAGGCACGTCAAGAGAATGGAGAAGTTGAATTACCTGACAGAGACCGTGGGGCTGAGGCTACCCCTAGTGGGAAACCAATATCTTCGCTGATTAGGCCTGATTTGGCAGGGCCAAATAATATTATTCCTGGTGGAGTTCGGCTGCATCATAGAGCTGTGAGTCTTACATTGTGATTGTAAAAGTACTATGAAAGGATTAATGGTTCCTTGAAATCATTGATTGTGCTTTCTGATTTATCTTGAATTTGCTTCAAGGTTGTCATAGCTGCCGAGACTGGTGGAGCATTGGGTGGTATGGTTAGACAGCTTTCAATTGACCAGTTTGAAAATGAAGGCAGGCGAGTTAGTTATGGAACTCCAGAAAGTGCAACTGCGGCTAGAAAATTATTAGATCGGCAGATGTCCATCAATAGTGTCCCAAAGAAGGTATGTGTTGTATATTTAATTAGTTATTAAATAGGCATGGATTAAAAATGACAAGTATTTTTTAAACAAATTTTTAATATATAAAGTTATCCAGTAAGGTTTTGAGATTTCAATATCTGACAAATCATGTCTTTATAGATGATTAGAGTTTAGTAATTGATGGGGCAGGGGAAATGCCCTTGGCCTACCGGATGATGGGAACCAGACCAATCAAATGTTGATACTCTGTAAGGGGTCAAGTGTGAAAAATCTGGTAGATCATGGTTATTGACCTCCCCTCTCATTTTGTTCTTCAACTTGCCACCTGTCACATTATGATGTGGTGAGCATTGCATTAGAATATGCTGTGTTAAGTGTCTTTTTTAACTGCAAAAAATCTGATAGGTCATGGTCATTGACGTCCCGTCATTTTGTGCTTCAACTTGCTAATTCTTGGTGAAATGTGCCAGGTTCTTGTGTTGTCTCATTTTCTAGGAGATCCCCATTTCTGCTGTCTATATTATTTCAATTTTGTTTATTGTGAAGTCCTTTTACCTTCTTATCAGGTCATAGCTCACCTATTAAAACCTCGTGGCTGGAAACCACCAGTTCGCCGGCAGTTTTTTTTAGATTGCAATGAGATTGCAGATCTTTGTGATAGCGCAGAGCGGATATTTTCAAGTGAACCAACTGTTTTACAACTTAAGGCACCAATTAAAATATTTGGTGATTTACATGGGCAGTTTGGGGATCTGATGCGTCTCTTTGATGAATATGGTTCACCATCAACTGCTGGTGACATAGCGTAAGCTTCTCAATTTACATTGGATGGTTTCATATTTCATATGCATATATGGAGTTTTTTTTTTTTTTTTTTGGGGAAATACATACTGGGTGCTATTCAACAGAAAAACAATGCAACACAAAAGAAGAAAAAACTAAAGATCCCTCATCACCTCCTCCCATACAAGAACAGGTGGAGGTTGATGATCGAGGCTGCAATAATACCTATCAAGAGAATGAGCAAGTTTAGCTAAATAGTCAGCAGTATTATTCTCATCTCTATACACATGCTAAAAATCCACCTGCCAATTTCTATGAACCCTAGATCTGGCATCGCCAATAATACCTTTAATCTAAGCTTCAGGATGCGCGCCCTATACATACAACACATTGCCTCTGACAAAGGTTTGAATAGGACTTCAATTTAACCAAAAAAATTATATTGACTGTGCAAACCTTAATCCGATCGCATCTAGGTGAAATAGCTTCCTGGCCTTTAGAATGTTATGATGAGACCAGGTACCATGCTGATAGATTTCATCCTATGTGGGGGCTCTGATGCTTTATTAAGTAGCAGAACGTTTGTGGTTGGCTTCGTGTTCATAATATTCTCCTCCCTCCCTTTCTGTGCGTGCGCTCACTTTTTTCTTTTTTTTGATATGGTTCATTAAGAGTATCATAAAACTGATGATTTAGATATTTAATTATCTGTCTCTAATGTTGTATTAATGACCTTCAGATATATCGATTATCTATTCCTTGGAGATTATGTTGACCGGGGTCAACACAGCCTGGAAACTATAGCCCTTCTACTTGCTCTGAAGGTGTGCTAGATATATGAATTTTCTTTGTGTTACTTATTTATTTTGATGGCCTTAGCTTTTTGCTTTGCTTATGTGAATATTGCAGGTTGAATGTCCCAACAATGTGCATTTAATACGAGGAAATCATGAAGCAGCAGATATTAATGCTCTTTTTGGTTTCCGCATTGAGTGCATTGAGAGGATGGTAAGTAATATATAATGTACTGGACATTGACTTTTTTTCCCCAATAAAAAAGGTACATCAATCAACCTTCTAAATCGCTGGTCAGGGTGAGAGGGATGGAATTTGGGCATGGCATAGGATCAATCGTTTGTTTAATTGGCTTCCCCTGGCGGCCCTAATTGAGAAAAAGATTATTTGCATGCATGGTGGTATTGGTCGTTCAATAAATCATGTCGAACAAATTGAGAGTCTTCAGCGTCCAATTACAATGGAAGCAGGATCAATTGTGCTGATGGATCTATTATGGTTAGTCCATTTGTATACTATGACATGCTTATGACAGTATCATTTATGTTTATTTGGAAAGTGACAGCATGAAGTGTTTGTCCCCAGGTCTGATCCTACAGAGAATGACAGTGTAGAAGGACTGCGACCGAATGCTAGGGGTCCAGGGTTAGTTACTTTTGGGGTGAGTGTTCATTACCTTCTATCTTGTATACAAGGATCATTCAAAAAACGAGCGAATGGTTAATTTATTTTTTGATTGCCTAGAAGGTGGCATGAAAATTCACCAATTCACTTCACTAAGATATTATATCATATAATATATAGATTGTGGTCATATTTGCCTAGCTGGATGTTTTCTGTACTTTATCAAGGTAGAAACGTGTATTGCCTTAGGATTAACTTACCTCATATGCTATTATGCTCATCTCAATGGGGTTCACTATTGTAGCCGGATCGTGTCATGGAATTCTGCAACAACAATGATCTTCAGCTGATTGTTCGTGCTCATGAATGTGTGATGGATGGCTTTGAGCGTTTTGCTCAGGGACATTTGATCACCCTATTCTCAGCTACAAATTACTGTGGTATTTTTCTGGCTTTTACCTGTAGATAAAGCTTTTCTAATTATAACATTTGCCCTTCTAAAGTGTGAATCTTTTTTGAGAGTAGGTACTGCAAATAATGCTGGAGCGATATTAGTCTTGGGCAGAGATCTTGTTGTGGTTCCTAAATTGATTCATCCATTACCACCTGCACTTTCTTCCCCGGAAGCATCACCAGAACGTCATATTGAAGATACATGGATGCAGGTACTACAAATATTTACTTAAATGTTTTGCGCTTTCTTGGTGCTGTATAATATAGCATTGCTCCTATCAAATGTGAGCGATCAGCCTTCGATTGGATCTTATACTGATGCGTCTTGTCACTTGTTTTGAGCATTTTCCTTCCAATTTTGTTTAATATGTTTAGGAGTTGAATGCCAATAGACCACCGACTCCAACTAGAGGTCGTCCTCAAGTTGCTAATGATCGAGGTTCACTTGCTTGGATATAAAGACACCAAAAATGTCCCTGCTCCCTAATATTTTGCCCAAGCGGCCTGTGCCATCGCCTGGTTTCCTCGTGTTTTGTAAATAGCATGATGCCATTGGTGGGGAATATTCGAATTTGTGATCTCAATCCCAGCAGAAAGCTTTGGGGCTTTCTTAATTTTTGTTTCCACAACTCAGTCAGAGACGGCCTTGTGAACTTAAGTTCAAGGTGCTCATAGGTTGCTACTGCTGGTTTGCTTTGGAAGGCTTGGAAGTTTCACTGCAGTTTCACCCCCGTGCTGTAAATGGAGCCACAGGCATGATGGTCATGGTTATGTCTTGTTATAGGTTGTTAGTGCTGGATATTCATGTCATTAATTTTCACAAGGTTTTTAACTTCTCATCCTTAGCCGATTATTTTTTTTTCCAGACAAAAAAAAAAAGTTGAGAGGTGGAGAAGGTTCTTTTTTTTTCTTCTTTTTTTAATTCCCTTCTTTAAGGTGATGGCGAAATATATAAATCAAAAATCTTTCTTCCGGTCCCTGTATCATAGAGGTTTTGCTTTGTGTAATTCCCTGCCTTGATCTGTACCATTAATTTTTGTGTGAATGCGTATATGTCTGACCATAAATTTTGATCATAGAATTTGTATTAAGCCCTCTGCGTTTATGTTTGGGCATTCAATTTGCATCTGCATTTTGCCTTCTGCCGCGCCAGTTAGCGGAAGTTGGAATTCCTTGAAATCTGAGCGTGCGCATGTTGCATCTAGAGTAAGTTTGGGGGGGCCACATGCGTTATTGCAGTCCATTAATGAATTTGTGATCGATTAGCACTTAAACGAGTAAAATCAAGTTTTAACTCGCAGAATATATGGTAAACAATGACCATGTATATTTGGCACCATTATAGGAAGCAAGCTGGCTACTAACTATCGCTCATTTCAAAATTTGATCCCAAAACACTAGCAAGACGTCATTAACCCGTTGCTACAATTCTCTCCCTCTTCCTTGAGCTAGGAGGAGGGAGCAAGCATGGAGGTTTTCTTTTTGTTTTGTAAAGGCAAAAACCAACCATCAGCTCCAATCTTTTTTTTTTTGGTTAAAAAAAAAAAGGATCATCTCCAATCTAACACTTAAGTCCCAGAGTCTGTATGTGTGTATATATATATAAGTCGCTAACTACCATGGTGCATCTATTTTCACTCGGAATAAGGAGGTCAACACTTTAGATGCTTCTCATCGCCACAACAACAAACAATCGTGCAAGTATCATTTTGATGCAAGGGATAGCCTACATGGACGATTTCCCTTGAGCTTCTAGACGCCAGCAATTCGGATTTCGTCAATGAAATTCTTGTAACACAGATGCATAACCTAACCTCGCTTCACAGGCCTCTGAACGTAGGATTTGTTTGGATCTTCAGTCTTGAGCTTTGGAGGGCGAATCTCTCCTTTCTTACCCTGCAGATGCAATCAGGGGGTAATTTAAATCGCGCAATTTATCATTTCGTTCCAACTTGTCGGAATGAGTTTACTAGTGTTTCAAAAAATTAAAATAAGCAGGTTCTAACCTTCTTTCCGGCCTTCATAAAATCTCTCCAACTAGATACCTGACAATGAAATGGTTGTCAGCTTTTGTCGAGCATGAGTTTTCTTTTTCAAAAGAGGAGGGAAAAAATCAAGGATATTACATTGATTTTATCTTTAAATTCTTAGAATTTATGTAATCTTTAAATGAATTTAATTTGAATTCGGATTGGATTTATCCCGCTATCCTATGTATAAAATGGTCATATATGAAATAAATAGAAAACTAAAACTAACCCTCTGTTCCCTCGTTCCTTCCCACTGCTCCTCATGTTCACGCTTTCTTTTCCACATCTCCTTCTGCTCCTCTTCGTCCCGTTTTAGTCTGCCTTCCTCCTCTGATATCTGCGTAAAAATAAACCAATGATCACATGACATGAATTAGCTCCAACGTATTAAATTGTTCTGCCCAAATTTGTTGATACACAGTTTTCAATTATCTCAAATTTCAATCAATGACCTCTCTGATCGACATGGGGAATTAAAAAAGAAAGAAAAGGGAAAAAAGGGGACCCCAGCACATACCCTCATTTGCATTTTTCTTCTCCTCCATTCTTGTTCTGTCAATAGCTCGCGGACCTTGGTTCTAAGCTCCTGCTGGAATTCCTCAGATTGTTCGTATTGTTGATCATATTTTCCCTGCGAAGCACAACAGACGCGCGTATGGATGAGCTTTTGATGAACACAAGGCATATTGATCCTTGAATAAAAGTGACATACTAACTTTACAAGGCTAAGGCCTAGCAATATCACCAATTAGTGTATATTCAGACCCCAATGTCAAAGACAGAGGCAGAGTCAGATAGATGATAACACACAGGAGTTTTGAAATTATAAGCTGTAAACTCTTTAAGTTGTGAAGATCGCAACCTCGCATATCAGTCATTCTAGTAGTTTTTGCACATACCTCTTCTACCAAAGACTTGATTTTTGAAGCGGTATCTTTCTTCAACTGCTTCTTCCTCTTCACTCTAAGCTCCTCTGTAACACAAATCGATAGAAAAAACAAGATTTATTGTTATATGCCTCTCCCCTTGGGAAGCCTGATACCATGCCACGAATTTGGAAACTCCAATTTTCAGCAGAGATATATTTTACCTTGGTTTTGTATGTATGTCAGAGCACTAATAATGAAGAAGTAAAAAATAACGCGTTCATTCATCATCAAAAAATGCAAATAAAAAGAAGAAAAAGAATTTGCTCTACGAGAGTTCTCTAAAGATGGTGAAATTATTTTCCATAAATAATGTACATTCACGTTTCTTAGGGCAACAAACAGAAACTTGAAATGAAGTTGACGCTTTAAAAGGGTAAGAAACTAAGAATTAATGAGCCCTTTTTTTTTTTTTCGAGGGAAAAAAGCATACATATACCTTTTGCTGAATTAACTTGGCTGAGAAGGTAATCTCTTTCATTTTGATCAAGTAACAATTGCTGGGCTTTCGCTAATGCTGCACACAAATAAATAACAGAACAAATATTTAGAAAATAAACAAAAACTTCCAAGCCCTCAAGCTGAAAAGCTTTATATCAGAACTAACAATCCCCCTTCAATATAATAGCAAAGAAGAAAAAGACTACATTATGTCAGACTTATGTTAGTCTGCATCGAGAGGCAACCACCTCAGTGGCATAAGAGAAAGGGGGTGGGGAAAACATTTCTCAATGCGCAACCTATACATAGTCGCTACAATGAAAATTAAGCATAATACATACCACTCAATGTTAGCTTTACTTTTAAATCTTACCTTCCAGGCTTCCACTATATATCCTTGGGGGGAAGAACTTTCTCCCAATTTGACACAGATTTAGATCAAAATAATATCAAGCAATTCTCACAATTCCCCCATTCTCCCTTCAGGGTGACACCTACTGTATTTAATTTCCATGTAAAAAACACATTTCCTTTATTCTCCATTGGAAGGAATTAAGTTCTCCTATGCAAGACCACAATGCAACTAACCTTAAGACTCAAGCAGGTTGATCTGCTCAGCAAGGCCTATACAATAACTTAAGGCTACATATAGTTCACAGAAACAATAAACTAATAACAGCGAGCTGGTAACTAACAATTTTATTCTCATCAGAACAAACTACGGCATGCATGCTTATACCTCCAAAGGCTTCCTTTGCTTGGGGATGCTTGCATTTATCAGGATGAACCATCAATGACAACTGCAAATAAATAACATAAACACGTTAGAAGGGGATAACAGAACAAGCTAAACCAGCCATTAGATGGGGAAGGTTACCTTGCGGTACTGCTTTTTGACATCATCAAGTGATGAATTAAATGGAAGGTTTAGATGCTCGAATGGGTTGAGCTTAAAACAAGAGAGAATCCTGTGAGCAGAAAAGGGGGAAATGATCAGCAGAAAGAATATAGAAGTCAATGCCAGAAAAATGTTTAATTCTCAGGAACATAATTTTTTTCGTCTAAAACAATGAAAATATAAATCGAAGAAAACATATGTTTGCAATCAAAGTCCACCCCCTCAATGTACCAGCTTCCTCCTCTTGCTAACCTTTAAATTTTTCACTGGTTTCCTTTCAGTCTCATAGTGAGTAAGCTACACATCCATTTCTCCTTTCCCTTCATCCTTTCAGACGCCATAATCTATGCTACTTCCTCCCTCAACGTCAAATCCATTGCAGAAAACATAAGCTCGATATCCAATTCTTACCGTCGTCTTGACTATTGACTTAGATGTTTATTTAGATCCAGTTCAAACATCCAAGGTGACATGTACAACCACGAGTTACCCCTTGGTTGGTGCTTGGATTTGCGCTTTCTATGAATGATATTAGTAGATATGAAGCTAGAAAGAACTGAATCCGGCAAGTTATGACAAAACTAATATGCCAATCCCCGATAGTATACCAATACACAGAGCATCATCCCGATTCCAAGAACTCAAATAACCTATCAGTTAGAATATATGGAACATTGAAAAGATCTCAGGTGAGAAATCTGAATTTAGGCTTGATGAAAAGCATTTGAAAAGCAAATAGGCCAACAACGTTAATTTTTCATTAGAACAGAACCCTAACAACCTCCGAAAATGAGCCTAAGTGCTATAAGGTAACTTGCAAACATGACGGTGATGGGAAACGAATTAGAATTTGCGAACAGATAATTAAAGATAAATAATTAAGAACACAACCACACTTGACACACGTATATATAGCAATACTAATCGAGAGAGATAAAGAGACACCTAGCGACTTCGTTGTCCCGCTCAACTTCGCTGACTTCGGCGAAGAAGTTCTTGAGAAGCAAGTCCTCATCGGTGGCAGGGTTTGTCTCTCCCATTTCTGTACCCTTTTCTGCTACTCGGGAATTCAGATTCTCAACAGCTTCGCATCACAAATCAAACGATCGTATTCCTCAACAAGACAGGAACTCGTGAGGATATGACCACGTTCCCCTATCGTTTGAACCTGTTCCTCCTTAAACGACAATAAAGCTGTTGCGTGCTATCCATCTAAACGACAGTGCAGCCTAGGCTTCTGCGGGACTCCGTTGCGGATGTGAACATAAACTCTTGGCCCAAAATGTGTCCAAAAACACTTAACAGGGAAAAACAAAAAAAAAAAGAGGAAGAGAGAGCTTTTTTTTTTTAATTTTCTTTTTTGGCATTAAGAGACAAGAGTTATCATCTGTTTAATTAAATTGCACAAAAAGGAAGAAATGATTCGAAATATTCATGACTTATAAACAACATGATTTTTTAAAAAATTAAAATTATTAAATCGAGAAAAAGAAATCGAAAGTTAAACAAACTTGAATTTCAATTAACAAATATAAAATAATTTGTCAAAAAAAATTGAGACAGCGGATATGTATCTGAGTGAATTCATTAGTTTGGAAATTATCGCAATCTTCTTCCTCTCGTAAACGGATAAAACAGAACATAACTAGATACTGTGTTTGTCCTTGCAAGGTTATTAGTAGATAGTTGGAAGTAGTGGGTATGAATGTTGATGAGTTATCCTCTCAAGGCAGTTAGCATATATACTTCTTGTCCTTCGCGGTAAATGCTGTGATTTGTTTTGCTAAGAACTTGCATTGGCTGACATTTTTAGCTAGCGCCGGCTAAGCCAGTAAGCCACTCGCCTTCACAACTTTTCTAAACTGAAAAATATACTCATACCACATTTTAAATCCTTTAAGAAAGCTCGCCATTTCTGTGAAAGTAGAATTATTATATTGGTAGAACCAAGCCTACCTCATGAAACTTTTGACGTAGTTCCCTTGAGATAGAGTCAAGAATTAGACCCCATAAGCAATCACAGTTCTCTACTCTTCTAAGCGTAAATGATATGGGTATCTCATCGGGAGTGGATTTAATCACTCCTCTCTCAACAATGGTAATCATACATAATACTCCTGCAATTCTTACGACCGTCTTTTCTTCCTTGTCCTTTCTGGAAAATATAGTCTGACCCATCACCGTAAAGCGACCAAGTTGAATAAAGTCTGACGCATCACCTTAAAGCCACCAAGTTGAATGATCCACTATACGCCCACATGGTGTAGCCCTCCATCCACAAGATCGTTTGAGAAATAAGACATGGCAAGTTCTTTGGCTTAAAGAAAAGCCTTATACACCCGAAAACTCTTCATTCTAAAAGATGAAGTTGTCAAGTGTACTGATGCTTTCGACCATGTCCACTTAATGACATGAAAAATTATAATCTTCATCTTCTTTCCAGCAGCATATCCCAACACGACTCTTCGTTAAAGCTTGGAAATTGTTGGTTTGAATAATTTTAAGAAGACTGGCACGACCCTGTTTCAAAGGCATGTACAACCAGAGCAAACAGATTATACATAAAATGAAGGTTATGACAAAAAGGGACGCTCTCAAATCAGACAAAGCAAATGGGGGAAAAGAAAGAAAAGATAGCATTAACGTTCGAAACATGCGATATCGACATCTAGCAGGAACACTTTGTACGGCAGTCAGATTGTGTGCTGATTGTTTATTAATTAGTTATTAGTATGAGATTTCAATATGTTAACTTTTACATTCGTACGTTCAACCCACCCCCACAAAATGGCGTCTGCGTTTAGAATTCAGTTGAAGTTGATCATCATCTTGTCAGCCGTCATTGTCCTCCTTATCTGTTTTTAGAGTTGTTTTGACCACATATCATTCTTAATACTACCTCCGGTTCTTAATATAAAACCTCATTTGACTTTTATTTTAGATTTAAATATAAGATCTCAATTTACTTTATCTCTAATATTTATACTTTTTTTTTTCAAGATAGTCTTTTTAATAATGGTAGTTCTAGCCAATATACTTGATTAACAAAGATATTTTAAGAAAGACAACACTTATTTATGACAAATAACTAACTTAACTTCTTTTCTTAATCTCCTCAAGTTAATTAACTTAACTTTTATAATTAGGACAGGAAGTCGTATGATGCAAGACCTACATAATAACTATAGTTGCTTTTTATTATTGTCCAGCCATTTGCCAGCTCTTCTTTTGCTTATTTTTGAAGCCGAGGGACGTATGTATACATCGGCGATGGCTTGTTAAAAGTAATAATTTTAACTTAGAAATAATACATTAGTTTTCATCATTGAAAAAGCATATATTAAAAAAATATCTGTGACAGTATTTTGTGTGCTTTTATTATTTTGCCCGAACATAACACTTTCGTCTCAAACCTAGAACCTGAAGAGAGGCACCGCATGTATCAAAAGGCGGATCATGGTGTTCCAGGAAAATAAGACCAATTTTGCGACACTCGTGTCAATTTGATACGACCTGATAGGACCTTCCAAGTCAAAGATGAGACAATCAAGTGCCCAAAATTCTCTTAGACACACACGTACGAACAAACAGCTTATACATAGAGCAGACACGAATAAATATAAATATTATATATATGTGTGTGTGGGTGAGTATGACAGCGTTGAAGTCATGTCACTGAACATGAAAATAAGTTGCTATCATTCACTATATCCTTCTCCCTCACTTCTCCTAATTCCTAACAACTTTATTGGACACAAGCTCCCCCAAGAGTGGAGGTGGGTGGAGAGACGAGTAAATAACTAATGATTTAAGTAAAATGGAGTTTAATTTGGAACAGTAATGGGGCGGGCAAAGAGCTGAGACTGGAAGACTCAGGAATCTAAGTGGCAATGCAATAAGGCTCCCAGAGCAGGAAGGACCTTCTAGACTCCTTGCAACCCTTGAGATTATGAACCAAATAATCCCCATTCTTCCCTCTCAGAACCACCAATTGTTGCTTCTCATTTGAGATCTGATTCATGTCCCCGGACACGATGAACTTGCCGTTATTGCTGTTCTTCACGATGGAGGAAGTGTTATAGTCTTGTTGGAAAGAAAGTGGGTTTGAGTTTGGTGTGGGATTGGTTCGCCAGGAGTATTCATAAACGTTGAATGAAGTACTGGATCCGATAGCTGAACCTGAGGAAATAAAACGAGCCATCCTTGGCACATCCTCCACCTTCACTACATCGTTCAGCTTCTCTGACCAATTTGGATTACTATTTGCCAATTCAGCTGGCTTATTCATCATCCATGTTAACCTTGTGACCCCCCTTGACAACATGGTTGTTTGATCTCCCATAGTTTCAATTTCTCCAACCTTCTCTTTCTCTGTTTCATCATCTTCCTCAATACCCGCGAGCTCCTCCTCCATTTCATCTTCCTCTGCTTCTTCTTCTATCATTTCCACAGCATCTTCCTCGTTGGGCTCTTGGTTAGCAAAGGTGAGGACGAGCCGACCATCTTGGCGTTGAGCAGAGAAGTTGTTCTGAGAAGGAACGGACATGGCTTCGAGTACTAGCCTTCCATCGTCACGGTGGGAACGCATGTGAAGTGAAGGACCATCTGAACGAGAAAGTGAAGGCAGTGGAGGAGGGAAAGAACGTGGAGACGACTTCTTGCTGTTAGCAGTATAGTTGTATCTTGGCACTTCGAAGTTGTCTTCCTCTGCTTCCCCTGTTACTTTCTGCTCGCGTTCTTCTTCCCTGTCCTCTTCTGAATCTCCAGTCTCAGAAGGTGGGTCGGAGGATGGAAGATCGAATCCTGTTTCGGATCCGAGACTCTCGGTGCAGATTTCGAGGCTCTTTTCAGACAGGGAGCTTTGTGATCTCTTGACAAGTGGGTGGACATAAGGAGGTGGGAGTGACTTGGAGGAGTCCTCGTTGGCCTTCTGGGATAGGATTGAGCTCCAAATGTCAAATTGTTCTCGTTGTTCATGGTCTTTGTTTTTGTCTCGTTGGATTGAGGCCCAAATATCGGATTGTCCTGGCTGTTCGTCTTCAGATCCAGGCCTTTTGTTTTCTTGTTCGCAGTTGTCATCTCCTTCGGAGGAGGAGAATGAATCAGGGATGATTTTGGACAGTGTGAGATTTTCAGAAGAAGCAATCCTTTTCATTGGAGTGAATCCATTTCGAGAGAGCCATTTCTTGGAGGACATGTCTGCCGATAGAGTTCGTCGCAGACGCAGAGAAGATGAAGGAGCTTCGTTTCTTACGCTCTCAGAGCCCAAAATGGTGAGGATGCCCTGATTCTGGGCCAGCTTGGTCTCTTCTTCCATCGAAGAAAGAACTTGAGCGTGAATGTCGTGGCTCATTGAAGCTGACATCTCTAGTAACCCAAAGCCAAAGCGCAAATCACTTAGTCTCTGCGCAGAAGAAATCGAAAGCATGTGAGAAAATATTCAAGGACATGCATGCACAACTAGTAATGAATGAAAGAAAAACAGAGGAAAAATAAAAGTCGAGAAGTAAATGATTAACCTGAGGGAAGGCAATCGCATCCAACAGAGACAAGTGGGAGTGGAAGGGTTAGGAACTTGGAGGGTGAGGTTGAAGACGATAACGATGAGGAGGATGATTGGGACGAAATGGATAGTCAAGTTGTTCAGAGGAATGGGTGTAGTTTGATGGTTATGGGGGAGGAGGGGAAGTGGTATTTGTAGGAGGCCAAAAAGCTCCGAGAACCATGTTCATTGGGGACCCCCGTTGCTTCCCTGAAAATGACCCCACTATAGCTTCACAGGTTTTTTTATTTCAAGTGGAAGTTTTTTACATGACTAGAATCTACGAAGCTAAAAATGTCATTTTTGATGTTAAGTTCTTTAATTTAACGCCAAGCATGCTTTAAATTAAAATGGGATTAAGCTGGGGCTTTATATTGAGGCGGAGCTTTGGGGGCTCAAGCCTCCAGCTGGCTTCCATGAGCTTTGTAAATCAAAAATTTAAAATTTAAAAAAAAAACTGTCTAGCTTTTATTTTTATTTTTTTTTGAAACAGAAAAAACTGTTTAGCTTCACACACGTACAATATGCTGAGTGTTACACACCACTAGGTGGGCATATGTGAGATTGTTTGTTGTGGGTGAACTTTGTAATCTTCAATAAATATCAATACATATGCATGAAGTCCTAAATTCTGAAGCTATCGCGGACTAATATATGCTACTTTAAGTTTTGTTTATTCATTGTTCATATGCAGGCGAATGTGCGTGTTTTCTAGTACGTAATATGGCTTTTTAAGTTGTCTAGTTGAAGAACTTTAGTCTGATTAAATGAATTTTGACCAAAGCTAAAAAATCTGGAAAGCATATGCATAATATTAAATAGCTGCTAATGATCTCAAGGTTTAGTGACATAATTATAAAGTGCTTTTTGTTTAGCTGTTGACTCCTCTAATAATTTAGTTCATGAACTTTGTCTGATCAAACCGAACGAGCCCAGGCAAAAATCTAAAAAGCACACACATGCATAAATATAATAAGAAACTAATGGACTTTTGGTTTAGTGACATTTATAAATATGATGAAGCTTTTTTGTGCAAAGCAAAGGAGATGGTCATTAATTAAAAGGTGAGAGAGAGAGGTAAAAGATGAAGAAGGAAGGTGAGGTAATTGGGGGCATGGGGTCGATCCATCTTACGGAAAAGAGAAAAGCAAGCACATAAGTAAGATATTACCAATAAGGTAAGGCAGAGAGTGACAATAATGGCTTAAGATGGAAGCAAAAGAATCAACTTTGAGGGCAGACCAATATATATGATTGGGCGGCTGAAAACCCACGATCTCTCATTGCCCAAAAAGATAGAGAATCCAACACACTTACATATATATATAAATATATATATGTCTATATGTATTGCAATTATTTAATCTCAAGGAATAAGGTATGTGGAAACAAACAACGCGCGTCACCTGTGGATTTTGGGGACCCCCTCCTTTGGATGCAACATCACTTCAAATCTTTTTGATCCATCTCTTCATCTACGATGTTTTTTCTTAATTAATCTGAATTAAGAATTGATTAAGATATAATCAAACTCAAGCGCATATATGCATGATGAGTGCAAACGCGTGTGCATGTATATATGAAAAGCCATCATGGGATGCGACTCATCACCTCACATACAGACACAGTAAAAGGTGTGGATGTGGATGTGCAGAAAGGAGAGCATATATAGGGAACAATACGATACCAGATGGAATAGAAAAGGCAAAATGAAATGATCGTTAAAAATCAAGTATTAAATATGAATAAATGGGCAGAGAGAGAAATATATAGAAAGACAAGTGGTATGCCTTTGCCACAGACCAAGGAACGAATAGAGGGAAGCTTGATGCGCCTTGTCTGCCCATACACTATTAAACAAATATATCACTCTATTTTTTATTATAAGTCACTTGTATTCCAAACCCGTAAATCAAAAAATACATTAAATTAACCAGTTTTTTTTCACATTTACCCTTATTGAAAGTTGAGAGAGAGAGGGAGAGGATGGATTGCATAGGAAATGAAAAGTTAAGAAGAGATGGAGGGAGAGATTAATTAATTTTTTATTAAATTAATAGGGGTAAAATTGAAAAAAGATCATTAATTATACTACAAGTAACTTATATTTTGAAATAAACTTTTGGGATACAAGTGACCTATAACAAGGAACAGAATGGTATAGTTCTAGGCCTATTTGATATTGATTGTTTATAAAAATATACTACCTCCGATCCTAATTCTAAGAGCTAGTTGACTAATTTGAAAAGATTAAGAAAAGAAGTTAAGTTAGTTATTTGTAATAAATATGTATTGTCTTTCCTAAAATATCCTTACTACTCACGTGTATTGGCTAAAACTACCATTGTTAGAAAAATTACTTTGGGAAAAAAATACATAAATATGAAAGACAAAATGGATTGAGATATTATATTTATGACCAAAATAAAAGTCAAACAAGATCTTATATTAAAGACCGGAGGTAGTATATCCTTTTCATCAGACTTATTCTTGTGTCTGAATTTCTCACGCTTTGTTCATAACATTATCCCTCTCAACTCAATGCTTATTTCTTTCTCTGCCTTAATAAAAAAGCAGTGAAATTGTATAACATTAAAATCTCAGTACACTGATGAGAGACTGGTTGAGTTGGGCACCAAATTCGGAGGAGCAAGGGATAAGCACATTTGGTGGAGTTTATTAAGCTTCGCACCGTCTTCCAATTCTGATAATCTATCCGTTCAATGAGCGAAGGAAAGATAGAATCACATTCCCATCTCATTTGCGATGCCAGAACATGATTAAAAGGCTCGCATATATGATTTATGATGCGATTAGTATCGACTTCATTTGCACCAACATTTCGCATGCCAAACAACATGTGTGAGTGAAAATAACGTGCTACTTATTTTTTTACGATTAGTTTTGAAAACTATTACCTTTGGTACTTAATATAAAAACTATATAACTAATTTATGGATATGAAAAAAATTAGTTAAGTCAGAAAATATGTTGATCCCTAAATTATATATCCTCTTCAATCATATGTATTGGATAATTAGAATTATCCTTTAGTAAAAATTCATTGCAATCAATAAAGATATTTTAGATAAAGAAAGTAAGCAAAATAGATTGAGATATTATATTTAAGACTAAATTTAACCATCCGATCAACTCTTACGTTAAGAACCAGATGTAGTACTAATTAACGTGGCCACATACACTTGAGTTTGGCGAAACCATTTATTATCAAGTAGTGTTATTACTTAATTACTAGATACAGTGTTTACCGTCCACTGAATTAATTAATACCAGGCCGTGACACCATCTTTTTTTCATTCAATATTTTATGCGCTGCATGCTTTAGAAAGTTGTATTATTCGGGGGATAATTATTCTCGAGAATCCAACGCCTAGCGACGTATATATGAGATTAGCTAGTGAAGAGTCATATATGATATATATATATATATATATGTTATTTAATTTCACAAATTATGAGGATATATAAGTGTGTGGTGGGTGATGGCAGCAAGAGATTCATTTCATAAACTTTTGGTAAGGACAAATAGCGAGCGAGTTAAGGGAATGGATATACGTACATTTCAAAACAAATTTCTGACGTGACACTACATGGGAGAATTCTTGCTGGAGTAGGGAATATTATTTTTTTTTTTTAAAATAAAGGAACATGTTAATGCACCTCCCTGTACTCTCTGTGCCATTGCTTTAATCGAGTGCCTCTATCTTTTTTGGGTTTTTGTAATAACTTTAGCCATATTGTTCCATTATATATCCAGCTCCACTTCTGTTTTCCCCCCTTTATTTTTAATTTTCCTGCTAAAAACTGTTATCATCACTTGCCCCCTCTCCAAGAATATGATATCTTTGCCACACAAAAATAAGAAAAGAATGAAAAATGTACTGACATATAACATATAAACAAGGTCGGTATGGAAGGATCGGAAGCAACAAAAACAATCAGAAATAGAACAAACTAAATAAATTTGCACATACTCGATATGTATATGTGTGTGTTTTTATTTATAAACAAAAACTGGTAGTTTGAAATCAATATGGCAACATATCGATAAATAAAAATATATAGCGAGCATTATTTATCGGGTAACTCATTATTTCAGACTTTATGCAATGTAAGAGGCTAAGGTTTAGTTTTTAACTTTTAGTTACGTACAAATCAGATCCATTGATGCTCTCTATTATAAAACTTGCTCTGGGAGTTTCTCACAACCCGAGCTTTAATTTGTTAAATTTTGATTTAGCGCTCATTAAGTTTTTGTGCTTTTTCTATAAATATGTCACATGACTTGTTAATCTGAAAAAATTAAAGTGAGATTATTTTAACGATGTCAACTGGCCCTTCTGTGTGGAATGCAGGACCGAGAGACTTCGAATTTTAATCTTCTAAAAACACAGAAGTAGTAAGCTGTGCCTGGGATAGCCTCTAATATATACTATCAGAATTTCTACGTATCTCCCCCTCTATAAAATGGATTAATCGATGCGGAGTTGACTCTAACCCATTTTAAATTCTTACTTTTACGGAATCTGAATTTTACTTTTCAATTCTGACCTAAATAATAACGTTGTCATATTGGCACAGTATTATTCTGATAATGGTCATGGCAGTGAACTATATTGGGTAGCAGTTCATTATATATATCATTAGTACTGCTGATTGTGTATTATATTCACAAGCATATGAAAGCTTGTGGCACCGGTTTATTGATGCAATATTTAACCATCTTTAGTCATATATTTAATTGATCATTAACAAAGTTGATGCTGATTTATTTGAGGATTCCGTCAACCTAAGAGTTTTATATGCTTCATCAGTTTTTACTGGATTATAATGCATCGTCGTCGTCGGCGGGCCTAAGTTGGAAAGCAAAAGGCTTAATCGAACCTTTGATGCTGACCAACAATATAATTCTTTTTTAGCTATAGAAATGCGAAAATAACTTAGTGTTTGACCTATAATTAATCAGATTAACTATTTTCATCCATTCCAGTGGGTCTTCTGTTCCTGCCGTCGATGGTTTTCTTTCCCTTTTTAGCATTTAATACGTTGAACGCCAAATCAAGAATCACTCTTTTGTAAATTCATTCCTTCTTTTTTG